ATAGTCAACTCCTTATTAAATGGAAAATTGACTATATCTCAAAAACTGGCTTACTTTTATATATTTTGATGACTTTTTCGGATTCAGGGGACAATTTTACATGGGAATTGACTACTAAATGTTCGGGATACAAATTGCTATTGACGAGAATTATTAGTGGCTGCTTTTCGCTATGACAATTAGTCATTTTTGACTAATTCATTTTTAGAGAGTACATAGCAAAAAATTTTGCCCGTGTAAATTTTTTGGTGTAGGGGTAAAAATATTAGAGTTGATTTGTAAGTGTAAAAGTCAACACTACAAAATACACTATAGGTAGCATTTAGTGCTTATTAGCTTTATTAAACACATTTAAAGAATATGAACATTATTCATTGGTACATTCACACTATTTATTATTAAAATAAATCAAAAGGGTAGAAAAACTTAATGCGATTGTTTATTACCCCTTAATGTGTTAAATAGTGACAAAATGTACACTACAGTGCATGCCAATTTCTTTGTCTGTTTTGATGTTACTAAGAGCTCTTTTTTCTTTACACTACTAGTGCACATTGTATCACAATTAAAGTTAAATTACACCAATAGTGGCAAAATAGACTAAAAAAATTGGTAATAACCGAAATGCGTTTTAAAATATTTGGTTGGTACCTTTCTACCTACGTAGTGCATATCCGGAGATACCGCGTTGTGGAAGTGTGGCATTTTGTGTTTTCTTTAAGCCTTAATACTCAATAAATACCAATATATTAAAAGGATGTCCATACCCGACCTATATTATATATCAATAATTTACGGCAGTTGGTCGGGTACTTGTAACATTAATAATATAAATACATACACACTTGATTTACTTTTATTTTCAAGCGTAATGGTTGTTATATTAACATATACCTATATTTTTATTAATATTATGGAAAACTTGTAAACGTGTTGTAAATCCCCGACATACAGCCGCCTGACGTCTCTTCACCAATAAGATCAGTGATCTTAGATCACCCATTTTTTATAACAGAAAAATGGATTACTGATGAATTCTCAAGATAATTCATTGCTTACAAGTTGACAGCCAGTAAAACATTGCATTGATCTAAAACTTTTACGTTTTAAGGAACCATTTTGGTTAAGCCAGCCATACGACTCAAATATAAAATTATATTTTAAAAGGCACCGATTTTGATAATTGTCATATATTTTTGTTCCAAATAAATGTTTCTCTTTTCCCTTTTCGTTTTATTCACTACCACCAATAGGTTTTACTAAAAGAGTAAAAGTACCTTTCTAAAATTATAACTTTCCAAAGTAGTGTTAATTTACACTGAACAAAAGTGGGATTTTACCCAGGAAGTGTAGAAGTACACGATTTTAGGTAAATAAACACTTTTTAATACAATGTAAAATTACTTTATCCTCAGCGCTATATTGTTAAATCATACTTGCTTACTTGGGGAAAATTACACTACAAATTAACTCTGATTGTAGTGTTATAAAACAACACTATTTAGTGTGGACTCTAATTAGTGTTGCTTAGAGTTGATTTTTTTTACTGTGTAGTAATGTTTGTTGGGTAAAAGTAGACTTGGTATTATTATATTTTAATGGGAACTTTCTCAGTCAAGAATATTATATCCATCATCCATCCAACAAAGTTTTTATAATTAATAAATTCCAATTGAGGGTTCTCAATAGTGTATTTTGCCTAATAATAATGACGAAACAAATACCAAAGACAATGTCTGCGTCGCGCAGTCAGATAAAACCAGATCTTTAAACACCTCCTAAAATTTACAGAATAATAGTTCAAAATGGTATGAGGAGACCGCGGCCAGCGGTCATAAATTAAATGTTGCTTTCGCACAATTGCTATTGCTACTTACTACAAATTTAATACGAAATAATTAAATATGACGTAAAATTAACTTAACTAATTACAGGACATATATGTGAATCTGGGAGTAAAGTTAAATAAATCACATATTCAAGAATATCGCTATCAAGTACATTAATTTTATATATTTAAATATTATTAAATATTTAAATGAAATCAAGTACAACCCTGAAATTTAGTAAATGTTTGATAAATTGAATGCAATACGAGATCGTTCATAAGTAGATCTACATAATTTTAAACAGCAAGATCATAAAAATAAAATTAAAATTGTTTTTAAATCTATATGTACATTTAAATGTACAGTCACTGACACACTATCAATTTGTCTTCAATAAAATAATTTCGAAATGATTTCTCTGTTTGGAGTTTTAGAATAATTCATTGAAAATGTAATCTGATAACAATTACCCACAAATAACAGATAATGACATTTTAGTTTTTTATGCTAAAACATTCAGATATATCTTAAATTTATTAATTAAAGTTGAAATTGTATATAGATAAAATATGTAAATTTATACCCATTAATTGTTAATTTTAACCAAATATTAACCAGATTTTATGTTAATCCAGGTCCACATAACTTTATGTTAATTTTACAACCAACTGTAATCTGTTAACTAATTTAATAAGTAGTTAGTAATTATAAAAAATATGTATAACAAAATAATAATAATAATTACAAAAAATTATGTTAAAATTTTACAAAATAAAATTAACAAGCTACAAACTCATGTTAACAAATCTGATTTAATAACCGTGTACCATGATTATTTTTAGTGTTTGATGCCAGTTCCAAATTAATATATCCAGGGATGTTACACACTTATCCAGTTGATATGGGCATATACGACGAATGCATTGCTTTGGACATCACGAAAAACAGTACTAGAACTTTGGGAAAACATTGTGTCTTCGTTGGCACTAATTTGTCAATTCCAACAAATGCTGTTGATTTGTTAAAGGTACTAAATTTTTTCCACTCAAAAAGTCCTTAGTAGTAGTCACAACTAAACTAGTCAAAAGACTTTATTTGATATTCTTATTTTAAAACGTTTACAAACTTCGAAAAATAGTCTTTACCTAATCGTAGATTTTGGTCACATATAGTAGACATGTTTACAAAACTTTTAATCAGAAACCAGACTTTATTTTTTGAAGGTTTTTGACGTTTCCTCAGAATTGCTTCTTCAGATCATCTGCAGGTTTCTGAGAAAGTGAAAAAACGCAGTTTTTTTAATATCTGAGGTTATATTACATCAAATTACACTGTTTAAAAATAATACTGAACCTTTTTTGATTTTTTTCAATATTAACTTCTAGATATCGTACTGATATGATACATGGGACAAAACTGCTAATTCCTATAGACATGTGTCCAAAAATGCTATACGCGAAATAATAAATTAATAACCATAAAAAAATTCCGTATTTTAACTTTTTCATTAAGCATTTTTAAGCACATGCCCATAGAAAGTTTTTTGTTCCTGTATTACGGTCATGAAGTATTAGTTAAACTTTATAGGTATATATATTTGTTATCAAAAACTTTTTTTAAGCATTCTAATAATGTTGTTGCAAAAGCTGCAAATGTAAATGGTTTCCAAAAAATTTTTGAAATTGCTGCTTCCTATTGTGTACCTGATCAATGTTCAGAAAAGGATCTTGACATTTTATTCAAACAATACGAACAAGGGGGTGTGGTAACTTTTAATTTTACTAAGGCAACTTGTAGCACAAAGGAAACTGGGAAGGAACTGGACGCTTGGGATTTTGGATTCATGTAAGTACTGAGTGTATTTTTTTTATTATTTTCTGAATTTTTTCGTGGTTTGTATTTGGTTACATTTTAATTTTATTTTCTTGTCAAAAGTTAAAAATAATATAAACCAAACTATTTCAACCAAAATATCGCAAAACAAAATGGTCAGTATTAGTTTTTAAAATCCTTTTTAATTTCAGAACTCTATTGGCCATCATTGGATGTCTTATTATTATAAATACTACATATGATATATATCAGGATTGGTTTTCATGTAAGAATAAACTTAAATTATTATATTTCCAATAAAATGGACAACTGACAAATGTATCTTAATGTATAAGCAACAAATGGCAAAGACCAATTACATAATGTTATTAATATGAGATACCTACTCCACAAAGAATCTAATTATTCCCTCACTTTTATAACCTAATGCTGCTACGATGCGTATACACCTAAAATGAAAATACAGTACCTATAGATAATATGTATATGGGTAACTCATTAAAACTTTTCGAATAAAAAAGTTCGAGTCTTTACAATTTTATTATTTCAAACTACTAATTTTGAGTTAGCCCAATATTTTATTGGGAGTCACTCCTACGAAGTGGGATATATAGTTGGACCGTCCAAGTTGGACGATTATAACGACCGAAATTAACGTTGTTAAAGAGTACAGTAGACATTGACAAAAGTCTCTTGCAAGCATTTGTTGAATTGGAGTTACTTCAATGGTTGCGAATAAATTTAGATTAAGAAACTTCCTTGACTATATCAATCCATGTTTCGCAGATTTTACTTTACTGTATTTTAGTGCCGAAACAGAATGTTTTGATTGCATTCTCTCTGTACACAAATGCACAAAAACTGGTACATATAGGAAAATCATCAAAAGAACAGATCCAAGTTTTTCATGGGCTAAAGTTTATCAGTATGATGTGGATTATTGCTGGTCATGGTTTTGTAGCATTTCAAATACTTCCTGTAATTAATCCAATGGATGTCTCGGCCGTAAGTTAATAAATTAATTTTAATGAAAATATTATACTATTTTTTTAGTGGAAAACCAATATTTATAATCAATACATAACAGCTGCCCCTTTAGCAGTTGATACTTTTTTTTATATATCTGGGTTTTTACTACCATACATGTATATAAAAATGTTTAAAGGAAAGGATTTTCTATATCAACTTAAATCAGTGCCTATGAGTTTCGTTCATAGATACATAAGGTAATGAGAGTTCAGCAAAAAGGCTTCTTATAGAATTTATTTTGTAGATTAACCCCTGCTTTAGCCATGATGTATTTAAGCACAATTACTTTAATGAGACGTATTGGAGGAGGTCCCATTTATGACAAAAACGTTAATGCATTTGTAACTAGCTGTAGAAAAAATGCTCTATCATTTTTTTTCTATTACCAAAATTATTATAACTATGACGATCTTGTAAGTTGTAGGGTCCTACAGTAAAGAGAAAATGCAACAGATTTAAAAACCCACTTTACTCTACCAGTTTATTTTACTCATACAAATATTACCTTTTTAGTGCATGACCCAAACTTGGTATTTATCGGCGGATATGCAGATGTTTTGGTTGTCCCCCATTATCTTATTACCAACTGCATATTTTGTAACGAAAAAATACAAAGCAGTTATGTTATCATTGATAAGTTTTAGTATTTTTACTGTTATTTTACCAATGATTATTAAGTTTATTTATCAAGATTATAAAAAGTAAGTATTCTAAAAAATGGTGTTAGTAGAAGCTATTTTACTTTATCTGTTTCTTTTTTAGTGATTATGATACTCATTCAAGGTTGTGTAATTATATTATTGGTTTTACCTTTGGTGTTTTTATGAGGGAAAATATTGACAAGCCCTTCATTTTTAAGAAAAATGTAAGAATCTTACCAAAATGACCTACTTGGTGTAAAAAACGCAATCCTTATATCAAGTTGGTCTAAGTTTATCCGTTTTGCAAAAAATAATTTCAAGCCATATGGTTTTTCAATTTAATAAAATAGGTATACTGTTTTAAAGTAAATATTATTTACTAAATACCAAATAAAGTACTTAATTTTAGATTTTATGTTAATGTTTTAAATTATGGGTTTTCAAATAAAATATCTTGTTTTAAAGCCTTGAAGATCATTAGCTTCCTTGTCTTGGCACATTTCCTGCACAGTGCAAAAAGAAAGATTTAATTTTAATAAACTTTGTTTTAAATTTTTTGCTTTGGAAAATTAATCATTCACTTATTTTTTAATTTCTGTTTGGCGCGTCTTGCCACCCATCTAGGAATTGCGTTTTTTCGCGCTCAGTGTAACTTTTTTTAAATTTAAAAATAATATTATTTTTTTAGAAATATCTGAAAAACTTTTTACTATGGTGCATCGCTCTAGGTTCTATGTACGTTCTAGTTTACTTAAACGGTTGGATATACATCGGTAATGGTACATACGCCGGTAAAACGGTAATTGAATCCCTGATGAGGCCCATATGGTGTTTGGGCCTCACGTGGATCGTATACTCATGTTTCCATGGATATGGAGGTGTGGTTAACTGGATTTTGACCAGACCGATTCTGCAATTTGGAAGTAGATTGAGTTACTGCATGTACCTTATGCATGGTAGTGTTATAGCACATAATGTTATGATGTTCAGGCAGAAGGAGATTTTTAGTGACTGGAGAGAGGTAATATGAGTTTTCCAGTTTAAAATGCATTTTGGTAAAAATATTTTTGTTTCAGTTCTATTTATGGTGTGGTTACTTAATTGTAACTCTAATGGTAGCATTGGTTTGGAGTTTGGCGTTTGAGTCCCCAATTATAATTCTTGAAAAAGTTATATTCGGTGCAAGTGGAAAGAAAAAAGAACACCCCACACCCCCTGCGAAAAAAACTATTCAAGCCTAATAAAACAAAAACTAAAAAATGTATATATATGTATTTTAATAAATAACTTATTTTAATTGGTTTATCACTACATCAAGAAAAATCGTGTCGTCCTTGGTATACTTTTCCTGAAACAAAACAGCGTGCGTGATGAAAACAAATGAAGACGACGATTCCTGTGGTTCGTCTGCTTCATCCCCTGGTCCTTCGAGCCTGGTTAAAATTTGTTTTACCACGTTTTTGGGCTAAAATATTTTTTGTATTATTGTATTAAAAACTAATGCTTCTTACAGTATCTAGGTTTTCCTGGTCCCTTAAAATTATATTACCCTCAATTTGACATGGCCATTTCAGTAAAGAATCATAATCTCCTTTGAGAACTTCCAGGGATATCAAAGTGTTCCGGTCCCGCCATTTTTTTAAACCGTTCAGGTAAAGTACCAACTAAAAATATTTTATTAGGAACTTTATCATGAAATTTATATTATAATTTAACTCTTATTTTGTATCCATATTCGTGTGAATAAAATATGGGGCTCTTATAGTAATAGTTTGTTTCTTTGCTGGTCTGCAACTTTGACTTGACATTGGAAACTTTCCATAATAACCTTCCTACAGTAAATTCCTTATCTTGCGTTGAACTTAGATTCTCCACGTCTCCTTTTAACACTTCAATCTCTTTTCTCAGCAAAGAATTTTCACGTTCCATAATTTCAATTTTTTCCTCGGTCCCTGAAGCGATTTGACTTGTTGCTCTCAAGTCAAAAAGTACATTCGTCAGTTTTGAGCGTACTTCATCTACTGAACTTTTTAGACTGTCTATATTTTCTTTTACTTCCAAATTGTCATCTTTATGTAGATTAATAATTGTCATTATGTTTGCGATTTGTTCTTCGAACTTTTTGGTGAGATTATCCGTTAAATTCCTTGTGTAATTTTGGTCTCTAACTATGTTATCTCTCAGTATGTTCATATTCATTTGAAGCACATCCAAGAATTTCAATTTTTCTTGTACGTTATACAAAGTGGCGTCTGAATTGCTTTTGGAGCTTTGATAAAAAGCAAAACTGTCTTGTAATTTATTCAGCAACATTTCTGTGTCTGCCTTCCACTGTGAAAACCCTCTGTTTTGATGTTTAACTTGACTTAACTCAGCACCGAACTGCTTAAAGGCATTTACAAGCTTGTCAAAACTTTTCATAGGGGGTAACTCAACGGAGTTGTAAGAATTATGCCGTTCTCGACTTTCATGAACTTCAGCATTGGTTATCACGATGTTCCTACCATAATTTCTATCTAAAAATCCAGGAAAACATTATAATTACATAACTCTACTGTTTTACTTGCCTAGAGTGGTTGGTAAGCTCATAGGTCCTAGTAGGTCTAGATTGGCATTGCTTCTAGATTTTGGCATGGATTTTTGTGATTGGTTTATACAACCGCTTTTATGTCTTGGCATATCGCATCTGGCTACATATGAACCACATTTGTATGGACAAGGCTGAAGGATTTTTGAGCAAACTGTTGTGTGTCCCTAAAAATATACCGGATTTAAACAAATGATGAAGTGTTAGGTGAGTGCCTAAACCAAAGTCTAATTACACTAGTTTACAAAATCGAAAAAAAAATTCTGCCCACCATATCCCATTATAATTTTCCCATGTATTTTGACCACTAAATACGAAAATCACACTCATTTTTTTTTATGAAAGCGTTTTTGAAATATGAATTTTCAATTGTTTTTTTTTTCAATTTTCGGAGGTGTTTTTGAGTTTATCTTGAAATCTAATTGATCGATCTATCTTTCCCAGAAAGATGTAAATTTTCGACCTCGATTTTTGTAAAAAAGGACTTTTTCAACTTCATAAAATCGCCAGTATCGAACTACTGAGCCGATACCAAAACTATACAAGAGAAAGTTGTAGATCGATTAATTAGAACTCGAAGTATACTCTAAAACTTCACAAGAACACCATAGTGAGACATGGTGGGCAAAATGGCTGTAAACTAGTGTTATAGAACTAAGATTGACATCTGATGGGTTTTACGCATAGACAATGGTTTTACGTTTGAATTTCAACAGAAGGCATGGAAATATTGTATAATGAGTTGCATACATACAAACATAAAACTGGTATTAAAATCCATTTTTTTTATTTAAACCACAACTAACCAATAACGATAAAATTTAGTAATAAACGTTATCATATTTATAATAATATAATTTAAGCTACTGATAAAAATGTCTAAACATTCAGGAAGACGGAAATAAATAAAAAACAAAATAAAACTTATAAATAAACTTACTTCTTGTGTTTCATTTTCAATAACTTTGTTACAAAAATAACATGTAAACGGCATTTTACTTTTGGTAGTGAAAAAATTATCCATACATTGAAACAACCTGTGTGAATTTACAATGTAAATATTTGGGAGATTAGATATGAAAAACTGATAATTTGTTGTAAATTCGATTTCATTTTAACACAGTTTCGCTTATTACAATTATTAAATTTCCAAATTATTATCTTTGTCCAACTCTAGCTTACATTAAGCCATCTCTTTAATTTTGGAAACAGATAAAAGTCATTGAGGTCCAAATCTGGAGAATACAGTGGATAAGGAAGAAATTCATAGCCAAATTTAATAATAAGGATGTTCTACGAATTCATGGAAACATAATATGTACGAGGTGTGTTCAGAAAATATCGGGAATTTTCGTTTTTTGAAACAAATATTTATTTATTTGTCTACATTAATGTTGTCGCCTTTAAAATAGTCCCCATTAGATATTATGCACATGTGCCAGCTCTTCTTCCAATACTCTAAACACTTCTAAAACTCGATCTTTGGGATAGCCTTTAGTTCTTTCAGCGATGCGCTTTTAATGTCATCTATGCTTGCAAAACGACGGCCCTTTAAGGTTCTCTTATTTTTGGGAATAGGAAAAAGTCAGACAGAGGCATGTCTGGCGAATATGGAGGCTGGGGCATTATTACAGTATTGGTTTTGGCCAACAATTTTGTTAAAAATTTAACAATTTTAGAACAAATTTTGCTGCCACGCGTTTCATACCCAAACATTCAAAAAAATTCATGGGATGAGCCAATCGATATACCAACATCATCAGCGACTTCTATGATGGTTTATAACTATTTGTTTCACTTTTTCCATGTTTTTATCGGTTGTTAATGTGCTTGTGCGTTCGGGGCGTTACTCATCTTCAACGTCTTCACGGCCATCTTGGAAACTCTTATACCACTTGTAAACTCTTGTTTTACTTATAGCAGACTCACTATAGGCCTTTGTTAACATTTCACAGAATTTATTTCAATTTTTAAGCAACATTGGATACAAATTCTTTGATCCATTTTTTTTAACGAACGAAAAATCGCCGAGCTCATAAAACACGTCTAACCTCAGCGGCTGCCACAGACAAAGTAAACAATGGAAACAGCTAAAGTTTTTATCATACTTCGGGGGCATGTATACCAACATAATAAAGAAAATTTTATGACAACCAGGCCCTCCGAAGCCGCGAAATTTAACAATTCCCGTTATTTTCTGAACACACCTCGTATATTTATGGATATATAATATCTATATATATATATATATATATATATATATATATATATAATACATAATATAATACCCGTTTTTTGTTTTTTGCTAACTAATATGTGTCCTTTTAAATATAAAATAATTGTTGATATTTCGCAAAAGTATTATTTTACTATTAAATGTTTAGATAAACTAATATTTGAAAATTATAGGGTGTGTAAAGTTATTTAACTCTATAGATAAGTATAATCTGAATATTCGAGATAAGTTTTTATTAACGATTGCTTTAACACAAATACACAATGGTGGGGAGACGATATATTCGTAATACGGTTTAACTGAAATACACAAAACAGCTGTAAGCAAAACTCATTCAAAGTAAATCGGCGTCGCGTTTATATCTACGTATTTTAAGCATTTGCTTATCCTTAGTTTTAAAATTAACATCTACAACACGCGCCTACAGTGTGCGCAATAAATAAAACAGTTTATCTGTATTATAATCGATAAAAATAAAAGTGAAAATCAACTAATTAAAACAGTAAGTTTGCTTTCATTTTTTGTTTAATTTAAATTATAAAATATTGAGTTTACCAAGGTTTTATAAAATATATTGGTTAAACAGAAAAATAAATTTTATAAAATGTCAATATAATATTAATTAACAAAAACTAATAAGGCCACCTTGACTGTAGTAAAAAGTATTGAGAAATAATGTAAAAAATTAAAAATTTTGTACATACATAGATATTAAATATGAATTTTTACACAAAGGTCTTGTTTCATTTTGGGAGTTCATTAACATCAATTTGTAATTTATATTTATTGTCACGAGTATTTAAAAAATTTTGACCCTTACATATATGATATAAATTAAATTTAATATGTATGTTTTTGTAAGACAAAATATTAATATAAATAAATATATAAATTTTAGGTTGCAAAAAATTATAAGAAAATAATAAAAATTAAAAAACAAATTTGCAGTGTACCATAAATTAAAAAAATAAAAGGACAAATATCCAAATTTTTTTAAATTTTCAAATTTCTCGAATTTACAAGATTTTCAGATTTTCTAAAAATTCAAAAAATTATTTTTTTTTTAATTCTTATATTGTCACCCATAATATAACAAGATTTTTACGAGTCCGCAGGACGAGTGAAATGTGCTGCTTCGGTTTCAATGAGTAAATATCATCGATAATTAATCATATACATATGTATATACGAGTTATATTTAGTGAGAAAATATAAGGAATTTTAGGATTTAACGAATTGTCAGTTTGACATTTGAAATTAAAATGTGCTTTAAAATATAAAAAGACTTTAATAAACCTTATTTATTCAAAGTTACCTTAATTTTATTATCGTTTACACCAACCCATCGATCTTTTAGAGTTTATAATTCATTATTTTAATCATTTAACAAACACAAATGTCAAATAAAGAAAAGTGTCAAAATCCTTAGCAACGTGTAAACAAGGTGATAATAGTTATTTATGTCATTAGGTTAAGAAGTAAGGCTTTTTGTGCTAAGCTCAAAGTTTGAAGGCCGACGCGTAGCGGAGGCCTACAATTGAGCGAAGCACAAAAAGACACTTCTTGGCCGAATGGCATACAACATTTTATCTTCAAAGCACTTTATATAGGTCAATTTAATTCAACATGAAAGCGCCCTAACCTCACTTTTTTTAATCTCATTTATTTATTAGCTAAAGATTACATTAAATGTACAATAATTATTATTCCTTTTAGAAGCAGTAATAGTTTGACAATACCTAACTACATGATTTAAGTAGAAATGGATTTTTGTAAGAAAATGGTTTACTTACCCTCTTGCTATTACATTGAATTCAATTAATTGTTTAATAAATAGGTATCTAATTTCAATTTGTTTGCATTTTTATTAAAAAAATAGGTAGTTTGGAATGTTTACGCTGTGTTTAACATTTAATTTTACTGAAAACTTAAAGCAAATTAAAATTTAAAGATATTTAAATCGTAGAAAAAGAAAACACAACTGTGAAACGTCAAATTGCAATGTCCTAACCTCTCTTTTTGTTTTATTATTCATATTTAATTTTACAATAATTTAATGAAAAATATTAAACATTAAAATGTTATAACAGTAAAACAAACAAATTAGTGCTTATTATAAATAAATTAAACCAGTTTAGTACGTTAATTTCTTAGAAAAGGATTAATTTGTCAAAACAATACCCCTAGCGAGAAAAAATCGAACTAATTACTTGCCTCATAAAAATTTTTATCGGCCTAGGCCATAACAAGGTATTTCTTTATCGAATGTTGACAACAATAAAGTTTAAATTATAGACCGCGTGGAGATAAAAAATATTGTCGCTGTGATAAAATGCGTAACTATGGAATACTGGCATTTTATTGGTTCTAATTATAATGAATTGTATTGTCCAAGATTATTTTTAAAATTTGCAGAGTGACCTAAACTTTTAAATTTTTAAATTTCGTGCGTAACAGTAGCTTAAATTTAAAAAATGGTTGGACAAAATCGCACAGTGATATAAATTTAAAAAATTGTACAAATTTCCACAATTTTTAAAATATACAAAATTTTCATAATTTTAAAATTTTCTAAATTTACAAAATTTTCTAAAATTTTTATATTGTCCAAAATTATTAAATTTTGTAGAATTAACTTTGTAATTATTCGATTGGCTAAATTAACAAATTATTAAATTTTGATTTTTGAACAAATCGTATTCTATAGAATAACAATGTATAATCTATGATCACATCAAGATGTCATATTTATAAACAATAAATATTTATTGTTAAAATTGTATTTAATAAAACATGTTTCTGAACTTTATTCAAATTAAACCTGATAATTTTATATTAAATTTGAACCAAAATTTAAAAAAATATTTTTATAAATTTCAATAAAAACATCCTAAAATGTCATGTTTTTGACCTTTGTTATCAAATTTTACACGTTTAAAAATAATTTGCAATTTAATTAATTTCGGTTAACCAAAACATTAAATAATAAATTCTATGAAAAAAACATTAAAAAACACAACAAATAAATTAAATATGTAGTAAATCTTTGTTTTGTTGTTAACCAAATTAAAAATATGTTTTTGTTGACAACATTTGCCGTGTAATTCTCAAAATTACCGACATGATTCAACAAAGTAAATGTGTCAATGATTTTTTTCCTCAATACATAAAATCAATACGCGGAAATATCTTAATAAATAGAACAATGTAATCTCATATTGCTTTTATGTGTTATTAATCAATCTTAATTAACAAATATTTTATGGCTTATCTGCATGGTCAATTTTTATAACAGATAAAACAAATATACAGTGTTGAAAATTCAGAGAGAGAAATGGACAAAGCGATTACATCAATCACAATACATTCGTCTCTCTCTTACTCGTTGCATATATTTTGTTTTATATTTAATCTGTTATAAAATCAATATGAAAATTTCCTTTGCAATCGATATGATATTACATGTTCCCATTATCGACATCTAGTTTTTCGATAAAAATTAGCCAAAAAATTGTTTGTTCTTTATTCTTACCACCAACCAGCAAATCAAATAAAATCAAAGTTACCTGTGTAATAAGAAGTGGGATAAGAAATTAGTTGCCTGATATATATATACGAGGTGTGTTCAGAAAATATCGGGAATTTTCGTTTTTTGAAACAAATATTTATTTATTCGTCTACATTAATGTTGTCGCCTTCAAAATAGTCCCCATTGGATATTATGCACATGTGCCAGCTCTTCTTCCAATACTCGAAACACGTCTAAAACATCGATCTTTGGGATAGCCTTTAGTTCTTTCAGCGATGCGCTTTTAATGTCATCTATGCTTGCAAAACAACGGCCCTTTAAGGTTCTCTTTATTTTTGGGAATAGGAAAAAGTTAGACAGCTGTCTAGAGGCATGTCCGGCGAATATGGAGGCTGGGGCATCATTACAGTATTGTTTTTGGCCAATTTTTTTTTCAAAATTTAACAATTTTAGAACAAATTTTTCTGCCACGCGTTTCATACCCAAAACATTCGAAAAAGTTTCATGGGATGAGCCAATCGATATACCAACATCATCAGCAACTTCTCTGATGGTTTATAACCATTTCTTCCACTTTTTCCATGTTTTTATCGGTTGTTAAAGTGCTTGTACGTTCGGGGCGTTCGTCATCTTCAACGTCTTCACGGCCATCTTGGAAACTCTTATACCACTTGTAAACTCTTGTTTTACTTATAGCAGACTCACTATAGGCCTTTGTTAACATTTCACAGAATTTATTTCATTTTTTAAGCAAAATTGGATACAAATCCTTTGATCCATTTCTTTTAACGAACAAAAAATCGCCGAGCTCATAAAACACGTCTAACCTTAGCGGCTGCCACAGACAAAGTAAACAATGAAAACAGCTAAAGTTTTTATCATACTTCAGGGGCATGTATAGTATACATGGGGCATTCCACGTTACTCGGTAATTTTTGTCCCGCCCGTCACAATTAAAAATTGTGAGTAAAAACCACAAGTTATAAAATTAATATCTTAAAATATTATTTTTATTGTTCTTATAACTTATTAAAAGCATAATAAAACAATATTTTTAAATAAATTTTATAACGTGTAGTTTTTACTCACAATTTTTAATTGTGACGGGCGGGACAAAAATCCCCGAGTAACGTGGAATGACCCACATGCCCCTGAAGTATGATAAAAACTTTAGCTGTTTTCATTGTTTACTTTGTCTGTGGCAGCCGCTAAGGTTAGACGTGTTTTATAAGCTCGGCGATTTTTTGTATACCAACATAATAAAGAAAATTTTATGACAACCGGGCCCTCCGAATCCGCGTAATTTAACAATTCCCGTTATTTTCTGAACACACCTCGTATATACATATGTTCTGCTTTAGGTTTCCACGGGCGTTATATGTATTAGTGGTTTTTCGGGATCTGCTCCGTGTTGTTGGTTTTTGGTTCTTAAAAGTACCGAAACGTCGTCAGACATGCGGTTCTATATAATAATTTAATGTTAATCATAGAAATAAGAAATTGCATTAAACAACGAGTTTCTCATTGTTGGCATTTGATTTCCCCATACCGCACGTGCCTAACGTGTGATAACTTTTCACTTAAATATATTTAGTAACAAGGTAAAGTTTATTTATAATTTTTATCACAAAGAAGTGTGCAAATGTATACAATTTTCTTCTCATTGTGGATTGATGAAACATCAGAGTATATGACAATTTAAATATTTAATAAGTAGGTTGAGTTATAATTTAAACAACCTGTTCAAACGTATTATTTTTGTAATTATCAATAATATTATTGTAGATAGAATGTAAAGTAATATTAGTTTTATGGAAAACATGGGAAATAATTATAGCCTATTATATTTGTACAAAAAAATTAGCAATATTTATTATAATGATGTCTATATTAATTTAAATGATTTAGGAGTTTCTTTAGATAATTTTAATAAATTACAACATAAAAAATGTTAACATCAATTTGTTGATATTTTTCATAATTTTTCAAAGATTTTATAAAATTCTTTATTTATTACAGAAACCCGGAAATGGACCAAACCTCAAATGGAAAAGTAACCCACATAACAAAAGAACCAATTAAAAGACGAAGACTACGGGTGGGGGACCCCGATTTCGAGCCCCCCGACGGAGGGTGGGGATGGTTTGTTATATTCGCTTGTGGATTTTCAAACGTAAGAAAAAAAACATAAAAATACCCATACCTAAACCACGTGTTTTTTTGCAGTGTTGCATATTTCCGATGTTCCAACAATTCGGGCTGATTTTCCGTGAGAAATTTGAATATTTGGGCATCACAACCACGCAAACAACAACCATAATTAATTTGAATTTGGCCTTCAACGCATGCGTGGGTGGGTAGGTTGACATTTTTCCAGCTTTGAAGTTGGTGGTAAAGTAAAACCATAAAAATATGCTATGTTGTATATGAAAGTAGAAAAATTTGATTTTTTTGTTTTTAATGGTTTTTATGTTTTTTTAATTAATTAAAAATCCTAAAAAGTGCAAAAAATCGCCCGTGACTAAAACATGTTGCTAACTTCAGCCCGTGACTAAAGCGCCATAAAGCCATAGCTTGTTAATGTGTATTTAAAAGATCACGATAATGTGGGTGTAGACAAAAATATTTCTAAACACACAAAACCAAAAAATATTTATTTTAAAAATTACAGAAAAGATATTAAACAAAATAAATAAAACCTAACAAGAATAACAAAATATCTTTAATATATATTATAAATAGAAATTCTAATATTGTTTTTCAGTTAAAAATAACAAAAAATAAACAAAATATTCAAAAAAAAAAAAAGTAAAGAAATATAAATAATTTTTGGCAATATTATAAAATCGTAGTACAAATTTTTAGATTGATTGTGATAAAAAATGTAAGACACGTTTTTGAGAGACCTAAAATATTTTAGTATTCTAGACTTGTTTGTTTAATCAAATCATCAGGGACAATGTATAGTGATTCGTATCTAGTTTAAGCATCAAATACGTACAATTAGTCCCAAAATAATATATTTCAAGTTGTAAAAAGATTATTTCATACAATTTACATAAATAATATCTTTCTCATTTTATTTTTAGCGCTTTTAAATGGCCCTATATATAGAAAATTCAGCTACAGGCAAGTCGCTATGTTTGGATCCATTTTGGTAGCATCATCTTTATTTATTACTGCGTATTGCACATCTTTTTATTCACATGTGTTTTTCTACTCCATGTGTTATGGTAAGTTGCTTGAAGAAAAAATAAAATTTTGCTTTCAATTTATTTTGCCAAAATTTGATTTTATAAGAAACAAATTTGGATGATCCAAAAATTTTAGATAAAAACAAATTAGGTTGACATAGCTGATTAAATCTCTGGAATAAATATCATAAATTAAATTGTCAGCACTTGATTATGAGATAAGTTTTATGTAAGTGAAGTCAAAACAAAATAAAAAAGTTAAACCTATTAAACCTGTTATAACATGATTGATTTTGTATATATCTTTTCGTAATAATATTAGGTAAAAATGACAAAGAAATGTTTTGAACAATACTTAAAAAATGGTGGATGCGCCGGGACCAAGTGTTTATTTCATTAAAATTTAAAATAGGTACACTGAAAAAATTATTTTGTAAAATTACTATAACTATCGCGGGTTATTTTTTGCCAAATACTATCATAGTAAATTTACTAGCGTATTATATTTTTACTATTAGTTATGTAAAAATAACTGTAGTAATAACGCATTTTGTTTGTAAATTTAATAAAGTTTTGTTAAATAAACATTACAACATAAAAAGTTCTTTAAAATTCATTTGTACTTATACAATGTTTATAGTAAAAATATTAATTGGTAAGTAAAAATACTGAATATTGTATAAAATTAACAACAGTTTGCAAAATAACATTAATAAAATGACAAAACTTTGTAAAAATAGAACATTATTTTATTTTTACCATGATATTTCCATTATTATTGCTATTTAAATTTACTAATTATTGTGTAATTTTACCCCTAATTTTTTCAGTGTACTCATTGTTTTTGTTATTATCTAGGTAAAGGTTAAATTTGGTGACTATAGAATATTAATTATAAGTTCATAAATAAAACAATTCTTTTCATTTTATTACAATTTTTTTAATGTAAACAAAGCTTAACGTCATTTTATTGCTAGATAAAACTATGTTTACTAAAATTAATCGTGTCACATTGTGATCTTTAATACCATGTAGTATGAACTGTCATTTTTATCAAAAAATATCTAGACCATGTCTGATATGCTACATAGTAAAGTCGGGTAACATGGTAAAAAAATATATAGAATATAATCTGTTTTTGGTCCCCCCTAAAATGAAAAAGACTTGTAAAAAGGCTTGGCCATACTTTAATAAACGAAAAATACATTTTAACATCTTTGTACAAAGTAGCACAACTGGTTAAATTAACGTTAAATTTACGTTCTGTCTGGTTAATTTACTTAAGTTATATTGTACTATAACGTTAAATTAACCTTAAATTAACGTTATTTTGTAATAAGTGGGGAATAAAAATCATGGTTAATTTAACGTTATGTTAAGTAAATTTAAATTCTTGGTTAATATACCTGTCGGTTAAAAAAAGTTAAAATTTGGTAATTTTTGGTTAATTTTATCCTTTTTTGACTGCTTTTTAACTCTTTAGTCAACTTAAACTAAAGTGAAAAAACCAACCATTTTAAGTTTATTTTAACTTAATATAGTTATAATTTACCAAGTAGGTATATTATACTACACCAAGTATGCATAGATCTATGAGTTTTAAGATTTTAAATAAAATGTCTCCCCTGAAGGGGGCATTTGTTTTTTCTGATGAAATGGCTTATAATACTTTTATATTTTAAACGCGCTCAAAAAAGAATAGGAAATAAAGAAAATAAAAATTTAAAAAAAAATATTTTTTTGCTTATTTATTTTTTATTTTACTTAAAATTGATTTAAAATAATACTATTTTTTATTATTGGTTTATTTAAATTACCTTAAGGTAATTTAAATAAAATCAAAAATAAAAATTAATGGCATTTCCTTTTGTAAAATGAACAGCAAGCAATATGGCGATTATAGGATGCTTTTACTAATTGGTTATTTAACCAATATAAATTAACCTGCAAGTTTATTTAAACCATTTAGTTATTTCCTTGTGTTTAAGTTAACTACTTTATTTACCCATCAGTAATTTATAACTCTTTGGTTTTGGTTTCAATTTGGTTACATTTGACACATTATAGTTAAAATTTTCATTATAACACTATAACAAAGATTAAATATACTCTTTAGAGTATATTTAATCTTTAATCTTTGACTATAATAAGAACACAGAAATGATTAAATGAATAAGAAATAAAACCCAAGAATAAGCACACAAAACACAAAGCCAACTGGTATTATTTTTCTATGTAGGTAACAATGAAAACTGCAAAACCATCACTTTTTTAACGAGTTGGTTGATTAACGTTAATTTACCATTTAGTTAAAATACATTTGGTAAAATGCAACTTGTTGGTTAAAAAATATACTCAAATTAACCAAAACTGTGGTTAACTTACCAAAAGGTTCAATTTATAGTTAAAATGAACCAAAATATAACAAGAAAATTAACTACTCTTTAACAGTTTTATTGGTTAAAACTTAAAGTTAATATAACGTTATATAACTTCTAAAATAACCTACTTATTAAGTAAGGTAAATTAAGGTTATTTTAAAAGTTACAATTAACTAAAAATTAACCATTTATTTAACTTGGAAGTATTGTTTTACTCATCAGTTAGTTTTAAAGTTAAATTATAGTAAAAAATAACTTTTAAATTAACTCTTAAGTAATAGCAACTAGTTGGTTAATTTAAAGGTATTTTTTTAGTTTATAATAACCGTAAAAAAAACTAATTGGATAATTCAACTAATTGGTTAAAAACCTGAGTTAAAAAAACGTCATTTAACTTAGATTTCGGTTAATTTACTTTTAATACTAGTTATTTAACCGTTTGTGCTACTTAGGGTAGTGCTAAAAAATGTATAAAACCTAAAATCCTCCATACTACTTGTGTACTTCAATATTTTTTTAGGTTCTGGTATTGGTATCACCCAGGCAGCCAACTGCCTAGCCCTAAACACATACTTCAAAAAACGCAGAAGAATAGCCACCGGCCTGTCATGGACCACAACAGGTCTAGGGCCTATAGTGTGGCCCTACATCATAACCTACCTCAAAGAACCATACGGAATGGAGGGAACGTTGATGATATTTTCAGCGTTTTCCCTACACGGTTTCATGTGCGCTTTAATGTTACACCCTGTAGAATGGCACACCAAGTATAGGGATGTCGATAAAGACCCCGAGGCAGCGAAATTGCTGGTGGGTGGGGATGATATGGATCCTCGACCGTTGAGTAAGGCTAAATCTAAGTCTAGGAGTATTTTCTCGAGTCAGGTTATTTATAGCAATGACGATCCTGTGTATCAAGGTTGTGAGATTCATGACACGGGAACGCCCAATATACTTAAAGGAAATGAGTGGTACTCACAAAATATATCGCAGGTTGGATCGAGAGTTTCTCTATCTTCTAATAAGATGTCAAAACCTAATTCAACAATGCCATCTAAGAGACCTTCTTACAACAATCTTTTTGATGCTAGGTCAAAGAAAACATCAAATGTGAACTTGAGCGTTGACGGTAAACGAGAAAGAAAACGTTCTGTTAACAGAGCTCCAATCAGAGAGGACATCGAAGAAACCTTCAAACAAGATAATAATTACTTGCAAGTCTATGCCAGCGAAAAAGACGTACTGAAAACCGCGGCCAAAAAACTCGCCGAGTATAAAGAAGAAGAGGACAAAAAACAAACAGAAGTAATCGAGGATGGTAAACCACGAACGACATGGGAAAAAATCGTCGATGTATTCGATTTAACGTTACTTAAAGACCCAGTGTTTTTGAACCTGATGATAGGTATCATCATCGCCAATTTTGCCGAGTTAAACTTCTCCATTCTTACACCCATGGTTCTTAAACAATTTAAATTCTTCGAGTATCAGACAGCCACTTACATGTCGCTGTTGGGTGCTATGGATCTCGTTGTCAGATTCCTTGCACCTTTTGCAGCGGAGAAATTGGACTGGAGCAACAAGGTGTTCTTCCTCATCGGGGTTATGTCCATGGCACTGGGCAGAGTTGGTAATATAGTCTATATAAATAAAGGATGAGTTTGCTGACGTTTTATACAGTTTTAGTTCACACCCAAACCTACGGGGTAGGTTTATTCACAGCTGCATTGATTGGAGCTGGAAAGGGACTAAGAACTGTATTCATGGCTCTTATTGTACCTCAGTATGTACCTATACAAAGATTACCAGCTGCTACAGGTTTACATCTAGCTACCAGTGGTATACTTTTTATTGCAATTGGACCTGTAGTAGGTATGTATTTTTAAATAATTATTTGTTATTATCATAATACTCTTGACCGTCTGATTTCCAAGTAAAAAGTTATTAAAGTTGCTAAGACTACACGGGATGTTATCGTTTATTATTACTTAACTGTGTTGTGAATGCTAATTTATATGCCACTTCTACAATGTATAAGTGCATACGAGACAAAAATTTCGGTGAAAAACAAAAAAACGCGTTTTAAATGAAACACCCTAGTGCCCAACCAAAATTATCAATCTATCATTCTCGTCTAGAAGATCCGGCAACACTGGATTACGAAAACCTGATTATCTGGTACCTATATTTGGTTTTATTTATTTGGTAACATAATTTCGTTTTTAAAGTAATTTACTCGTGGGTATTAAAAAAAACACAATTATATTGTTATTTTTTTTAATATTTAGACCATCCTTCTACCTTCTATAGTTTTATTCTCTTTGTTTTCTGCTCTTCTCTTTCTATTTTCGCTACATTTAGCATTAGCACCTTTTTCTATCGTTTTAAAAACTCATTTTTAGATTTTAAATAACACTGCAGTGCTGCACTGCATTTTACTGCATATAGAACTGTCACTGCCACTGTCAATAGCGAAAATCGTTACCATAGAAACCAACAATCAACAACTCCCAATGTTGTCGCGTTTATATCCTATGTTTTACGTTTTTTTATTATAAAATGACAAAATAAATTTTGTCTTTGCAAGTTGGAACAATGGTGGCCATGGACATGGTGCCATGGATAACCATTTTACTCCTCTTAAAAATAAACCTTATTTTATCAGGGCTGGCATCAAACTGTCAAAAATCAATTTTAAGGTTAATTTACCATAATTCACAAACCATAGCCACAAATTAACCTTAAAATTGACATTTAACAGTTTGATGACAGCCCTGATAGAATAAGGTTTATTTTTTACAAGAGAGGAGTAAAATGGTTGCCCTTGGCACTTTGAGGCCTCTTTTAAGGCTTGCAAGTCTCTCTGTAAAAAACACAACGTTTAAAACGATTATTAATCTGTACAAACCCAAAGCACAAGAATTGTAAGCAACAAAAATGGCCGTCATTAAATGATGTGCAGTGTTGCAGTGATTTTTAGTACGAGATCGAACAGATGTGTGGATTGTGCGCGAAACGTCATAAAACAGACCTTGTTGTGTGGATTGTGGAACCAGTATCATTCCTTTAAAATCGAAAATCGAAATCACAAATATCAAAATCCAACTGCCTTTATGGACAAATAACCTTTCTTCCGATAATCACTATTCTTGTCATTTTGACAGCTAAAGCAGAAATGGTCTTTTACTAATCCTATTACGGAACTTGACCGTTCTAATATTACTTTTATCTATGGAATGACATATATTACATAAAGTGTTACAGAATGAAATATTCCATCATCGGATGACAGAATAAACACTCGTGGCGACATCTCTGTTTTTAATATCTAACAAATTTTAGACCGATCCAACCTCACTTTCTTCCAATTAAATTATTTTTCTATGGTATTTTTTGGAAACGTAGAAAAAGTATAGTCTCAAACACGTTTGGAATTGCATATTCCGGAATATGCTGTATTCCAAACTTGTTACAGAATATACTATTATTGTATCTTTGGTATATACAGAATTACACAAGGACAACCAAATTATGATGTTTGAAATCAAGTATTATATTAAATACCTAATAATATTATTAATAACTCCCTGCAAAAGAACGTTTGCCAAAAAGTTTTTTCGCAATATCCCAAGCGAATAAAATGTAATTTTTTTTAAATAATTGTGTTTTTTAGGTTGGATCCAAGACATGGTCCAAGATTATGTCATAACCCTCCACATTCTAAATTTATGTACATATATAGTAGCTGTATCGTGGATTATAGAAGCTTTAATCCATAGAAAAAAAGATGTTGCTGAAGCCAAATAATTTTTACCTAAACTAATAAAAAAATGATCAAAGATCTCAACATACATTATTAATTTTTTCTAAGTGTAACATTATTTTCAGTATTTTTGTAAATTAAGATTACCTAAGTTAATAAATAATACAAAAGTTCAATACCTTTTATTTATTTATCCCAATGATTTATGTGTTGAAAATGTCGTAGACGATAATGATATTGTGTAGGCCATAATATGATAAAAAGAAAGATAACTCATTCATGGTTATACTCAGTTTAGTAGTGTTAAAATGAAATCTCTGCAATTACTTGTTTTAGTTGTGTTATTTATTAATATTTATGCAGAAAAAATCAATTGGGATACTTTAAAAAACTATAGTGGTTTTCTGAATTTTGGTGAAAAAAGTAACAAACTCAACAAAGATGGGTTGGAAAATGCTATATTTAAATCCAAAATCGACATCCTTGGAGAAATTTTTAAGAAGAATATTGACGATCTTAAAAAAAATAACAAATTGGACCTTATTTTTCTCGTAGATGCTTCATCAAGTGTTGGCGATAAAAACTTTAAAAGTGAACTGAAGTTTGTTAAAAAGCTATTAAGTGATATCACTGTCGACTATAACCATACACGAATCGCTGTAGTAACTTTTAGTTCTTCCAACAACATCGTAAGTTACTTGATAGTTTAACAAAAAAATTCGTTAAAAACATATTTTAGAATGTTAACATAGATGAAATAAGTCAGCCTTCAAAAGACCACAACAAGTGCCTTTTACTAAATACACAACTTGGAAATATAGACTATAAAGGAGGAGATACTTATACGTTAGGAGCTTTTAAGGCAGCACAAGTATACTTTCAAACATCATACACGCTTTTTTCTAAAAGGGACTGAACTACATTTGGTTCATCACACCACCAAGTGTGTGGCATGTTATTTAGTAGAATTTTTTTAGAAAAAAGTTTGTATATACTTATACAACTTAGGTAATCCCCTAAACTCATTGTAGACTATATTCAAAAACGGTCATAGAAACAACACCAAACAAGCGCTATTTCTCATAACGGATGGATACTCTAATGGAGGTGATCCTGTTCCTCTAGCTGAGGATTTAAAGGACCAACAAATTCAAATTTATACCATAGGCATTGAAAATGGAAACTACAAGGAGCTCTATGACCTCTCATCATCGCCTGGTGAAAGATATAGCTACCTTTTGGATAGCTTTGAGGAGTTTGAGAGTCTTGCCAGGAGAGCCTTACACGTTGGTAAGGAAATACAAGATGTAACATTTTATGAAGACTAAAGTTACGTTATAGATTTAAAAAATGGTGACTACGTGCCTCTAGGCGTAAGTAATCCATGTGATGGGCTATGCACAGGAGGCGATTGCTGTGACGTTAACGCCTTATGTTCTTGTGGGACAACAACTGGACACTACAAATGTATTTGCAAACTTGGCTACTATGGAAGTGGGCTGCAGAATGAATGCTTTCGTAATATACGCCATAAATAAGCAACAATTAATAAAATCAACATAATGTTTCAGCTTGTAGTGACTCAATGTATTCTGATGGCCCTAACACGTGTTTCCCATGTCCAGATATAAACCATGTTACTGCTGTACCAGCAGTAGGTCTGGAAAGCTGCAAATGCAAGCTAGGGTATGAAAACACAAAAGATTATAGATGCCAGCGTATGTGCCAACTTAATAAATTAAAAATCTTTGATTAACATTTTTATTTTAGCAATAAAATGTCCTAAAATTCAAATACCACAACATGGAATCCTGGTCAAAAAAAGGGAATGTGGGAATGTTTTAAACAGTGCTTGTGGCATACGATGTGAAGTTGGCTATACTTTAGTGGGTAAAAGTATTAGATTATGCCAAGGTAACGCTACATGGAGCGGTAAAACACCTAGTTGTGAAAGTACAAAAAATAAATAAACAAAATATTCGAAATACTATAAAAACATTTCAGTTAAAGTTTGTAAGACCCTGCCACCCCCTAAGAATGGCTCCATGGAATGCTCTCATAGCGATCTAGAGTTATCAGATGAAGTAAATGATTTACCAGTTGATACAACATGTACCTTCACATGCGGTAAAGGCTTTAATCTTAAAGGATCCATAGAGAGGACTTGCCTGCCTTGGGCTAGATGGGATGGCCTTGTAACTTTATGTAAACGTAAGCGATATACATCGGAATTTTAGTTATTTTGACCACCATGATTATTGATTTTTTAGCTATTAAATGTAGTAAGTTGTCCAGCATAAAATTTGCCACGTTTGAGCCAAATTCCTGCTCACTTGGTAAACAGGATTACGGCAAAAACTGCACTGTTATTTGCAGAGAAGGATTTAAGCTTAAAGGTCCTTCAGATAGGGTTTGTAAGGGTAAACAAGGTGTATGGAGTAGAAAAATGGAGGATACAGTTTGCATAGGTACCCAAATTGTGAGAGCTGGCCTTTTACCTTGTGATTGTACTTTTGTTTTATCACTCGAAACAAAAGCATGTTGACGAGGTAAAATGTCAGTTCTCAAAACAACACAAACATCTGTAACAGTATAGTTTGTTTTATATATAGATGTTACACCACCGAAGTTAGAATGCCCTCAAAATCTAACAATCACAAGTTTGCCTGGTAAAAAATATGGTTTTGCCTCTTGGAAAGAACCCAATATAACTGATAATTCCCACATGGACGTAACGATTTGGATGAAACCCATTTTTAAAAACGTTTCAACGTTTAAATTTCAAATAGGTGAAACAGCAGTTAAATATTTTGCACAGGATGCCTTTCAAAACAAAGCCAATTGTACCTTCTATGTTACAGTAAAAGGTTTGTATAATTCAAGTGAGGAGCAAAAATTTGTTAGTATTTTTTAGATGATGAAAAACCTACAATCGAGAACTGCATAGATCCCCCAATATTTTTTAGTGATGATAAAAGTGGTCTCAATATTACTTGGGAAGATCCCTATATTTTTGATAATTCTCAACATGTTATAGTAAAATTACTAAACTTGGAACTTATTATACTTAAGTTAATATTTTTTCTTAAATTTTAGATACAAAGTTCTCACAAATTCGGCTTTTTTCCTATAGGTACCACCACTGTCACTTATAACGCTACTGATGATTCTAACAACTCAAATATCTGCAAAATTAATATAACCATAGAAGGTATAAGTAACGTAACTGTAACATCTTAAAATATATTTAACATTTTAGAAGCAATATGTAAACCTTTACCAGACCCTATTTTCGGATACACAAATTGCACAACTCAACCAAATGGCTTGCTCTGCAATATATCTTGCTCACAAGGTTATGAAATACCCGATGAAAGCAACTCTACGACTTTTTCCTGCGATGATAGCGAGCCTTTAAAGTTTTACGAAGTAAGAAACAATATGCCTGAATGCTCCATTACCAAAGTACCTGAGATGTCAAACCAAACTGGAGAATTTGATATCAACATGGATGATGATGCTTGTAACAATAACACTGAAATAACTAACAATGTAGGTAAGTCTATAATCATACCATTTCTTCTACAGTTGTATTTCAGTTAAAAAACGACATATTTAACACTTTATCAAACAATCTCTGCGAGAAAGACTGCGACATAGACTTAAAATATAACTGTGAAGATGAGCAAGAAAAACGTGAAGAACAATCCAATATAATCAAGCGAGATGTGAAGAATTTTGAGTATGTCCCACACAGAAATAGATATCGAAAAAAACTTAACGTTAAGTTCCAAGTACGTGGTAAATACATTTATGAGAAAAATGATACTCAAATCACCCTAGCAAATGGCCAAAATGGTGTTTTGAAGTTGGATAAAACTGAGTTTTTATGCCCATTAGGGTTTGTGCCTAGAAAAAATAGATGTGGTATGTACAAAGTGTTTGAATTACAAAATATATTTTCCTTATAACTTGTAGTACAATGTCCCAAAGGAAGTTTTCATAATAGAACATCAAGTAAATGCCAAAGCTGCCCTATAGGGTCTTACAATGACAAGTTAGGGCAGACCCTATGTATTCCTTGCCCCATGTACCATTCCACAAGAAAATTGAGAACAAAATCTATGTCAGAATGTAGAGGTAACATTTAGGTAACATAACAACACGATTGTACACAAATATTTGCAGAAATGTGCCCGCCAGGGACCTTCGCAAGAAGAAGAATAATTCGTCACAAACACAAGGGTCAAAATGTGACCCTTGAACGGGGCTCATTGCACCCACATTGTAGATCCTGCAAAGTGGGCTTATACCAGGAGGACTACGGTCAGCTGCACTGCAAAGCGTGCCCAAAAGGCTACACCACAACCGGTTACAGATCTACAAATGTAGACCAATGCATAGTAACAGCAGAGGAAGTTTGTACGAGTATCAAAGATATATGTAACAATGGGAGTTGTGTTTTAACAAATGAATATCAGTATGGTTGCAATTGTTTTGAAGGATACTATGGCGGTTTTTGCGAAAAAAAAATTACCCCTTGTGAGTCTAGCCCTTGCTTAAATAAGGGCTCATGTGAGGAGGTTAATGTAACCGACTTCACTTGCAAATGTCCACTGGGTTATAGTGGTAAATACTGTCAGGATTTTGAAGTGCCTTGTAAGCTAAGCTGTTTACACGGTGGCACTTGCGTGGAATCAGATGAAAATGACTTCGTGTGTTTGTGTCCAGAAGGTATTGTAAATGATAATAGTCGAAATGTGTACACGCTATAATATTTCGTAGGTTTTTACGGAGAATTTTGTGAAATACCCCTAAAACATTGCAATGAAAATCTATGCCAAAATAATAGTACTTGCGTGGAAGAAAAAAGTACTTTCAAATGCATTTGTTCAAGAGGTTTTCTGGGTAAAAGATGCACCATATTACCATGCGATTACCAACCTTGTAGCACCAATACCGTATGCGTAAATATCATGGAACCAAATGCATCCAGAAGCAGCTTTAGGTATGGTAGTAATTTTACTTTATTCATTGACCTGTGTAATGTAAAATTTAGGTGCTTATGTCCGGATGGGTACACAGGGGAAAATTGTACGGAAAAAATCGATTACTGCAGCGAAAACCCATGTAAAAATAATGGTACCTGTATCAGTGAAACTTACACAAACACCTGCGAATGTAATAAGTTGTTCTATGGAAAATTTTGTGAGTTCAAAAGGGAGACAAACTACATTTTGGAGTTTACCAAATACGATACCAATAATTTTATCAAAATGAGAGGGTTCACCAATAATATAAGAGAGGTAAACCTATTATAAATCAATTTTAATTACTTCAAAATCATATTTTGTTCAAGATATCTGCTTGCCTTTGGATGCAAAGTCAGGACAATTTCAACTATGGAACTCTTATATCATATGCAACAAGCCAAAAAGACAACACGTTCACCTTAACAGACTATACAGGGTGAGTCACAAACACACCAAAATCTTTATTCTAAAACATATTTCCAGATTAATCCTGTACATCAACAACCAGTACATCGTAACAGACCTCGTTCTAAATAACGGTCATTGGCATCACATCTGTGCTTCCTGGTCCAGCATAAATGGCACCTACAAGGTATACCTCGATGGTAAAGTGGTTAAGAGTGGCGAAAACTTATCACCCAATACAGTAATCCCAGGTACGTAATATAAACCCTTTAAGACATCTAGATTGTATTTTGGTTATGCCCAGGTTATGGAAGCCTAGTTATTGGTCAAGATCAAGATACCTTTGGAGGTAGTTTCAGCCAATCTGAAGCTTACATGGGTAAAATGACTTATGTTGACATTTGGTCCAGGTTTTTGACCAATGAGGAGGTTTTAAGTCACATGAATGACTGTCAGAATAAGAATTACGGGGATTTGTATGCTTGGGCGGAGATACTGGAGAATGTTAAAGGGAACATTAAAGTATTTTAGTGTTTTGTTTTTTATTTATTTTTATTGCGTTGTATTGTAGGTTGTAAACTCATCGTTTTGTAAAGGATGCAATGATCCTGTGCCGTTATATCATGGTTATATTAATATAGTAGATAATAAGTCGTTTTACTCATGCTATGAAGGCTATAAACTTAGAAACGACTTTTATAAGAATGGTAGACATTGTACAAAATTAGGAATGTGGGAGGGGATACACGAACCGCACTGTACAAGTATTAAAAATATCATAAACATCAAAATACGCGATACATATATATACATTTCTAGAGGTTTACTGTGGATTTCCAGGATACACACAAAATTCCAACTCCATAGGCAAAAATTATTATTTTAATGACGAAGTCACCTACAAATGTTACCCAGGCTTTAGTTTGAGTGGAAACAGTACCATCACTTGTAAATCTGACGGTAAGTGGTACCCAAACGTGCCTAAATGTATTGGAAAGCAATGCCCCGAATTATCAGCCCCTGAATTGGGTTCCTTAATTTACATAAGTGAACCTAACGGTGATGATAGAGAAAATAATACAGGTGTTGAAGCTGGTACTCAAGTAGAATTTATCTGTGAAAAAAATACAGAACTATACGGAGAAAACATTTTAACTTGCCTACAAAATGGTAAAACACGAACTAATTAGACTTAAACTATTTCTGAAGTACTACATTTTAGGTAACTGGGATTTTGAAACGCCAAATTGCTCAGTACCACTTACTCCACAAAAAATAGATTGTGCAATACTTTCTATACCACCTGCACCTTTAAATGCTTATATAGACCCAGATTCTTTAAGTGAAGTTGAAAATGGTACTTCAGATACAATTTTTTATCAGTGCAGGGTTGGTTTTAAAATTATAGGGTCTAATAGCAGCGTATGTATTGTGGATGGTTATTGGTCTGAGATGAATGCTACTTGTGAATGTAAGTGTATATATCTACAGGGTGTTTGCCAAAATAGTTTCTGTCTTTTTAGCAATAAAATGTGGAAAACCCACGATACCTTTTAAAATGCAGCTTAAATATAAAGAAGAAGATAAAGCTATATACGAATATGGTAACAAAATTACTTTTGGATGTAAAAAAGGTTATAAACTTGTTGGAAATGACACCATTCGATGTCAGGAAGATACAACTTGGAGTACAAATTTAGGAGAATGTCAAAGTACGTAATTACAGATTTAAATATAGTTCTTTGACACAATATTAACAAATTTTTCTTAGGAGAACGGTAAAGAATATTTGGAATCAAAATTATAGAAACATTGGCATTATTTAAACAAAATTGTTAGGTATATGTTTGACAACCAAAAATTATTATTATTATTAAAAATTATAAGAATTAAAAACACAACATGTAAAGGATGATACTGTGCTTTTTTTCTAAAATTCTTGTCGATACACCTTATAAACTTGACTATTTTTTGTAGAACCGTGTAAAAAACTATACACACAACCTACCACAGTAGTCATAGGAAGTTCCTTTGACATTGGAAACACAATAAAAATAAAATGTAAAAGTGGTAAGGAATATGACTTCTTCTGTAACAAAAAATCAATGTGGGAGGGCAGTGGGGATAAATCTTGTTAAATATACCTAATTAATTAATATAAAATATTTGTATTTCTACCGAAACCCAAATTCCTTTGATTCCCATTAGACAAACTCTAAGGCTTTGCCCAGATAGCACAAAACGTCTTGAATATGTCTTTTGTATGTCTGTATTATGCCTGAACGTCTGAAGATCTAAAAAAGACGTCTTAAAGATATCTTCATTTAATGTTCTAAAGACATCTTATAAATGCCTGACACCGCCGCTTATTTTTTTTTTTTTTTTTTTGATAAAATAGTGAATTTTGATGAGTCAAAATCGAAATTATATCTTATAATCAGCCACTTCATAGTAAGATATAATTAGGTACCATCTTATTTTGGTGTAATAGAAACAACAGTAATGTAGGATTTTGAGTTTTGACAACGATGATGGGTAGGGTAATTACCCTACCCCTCATCGTTAACTAAATAACTTAATTTGTTAACTGAATAAATATTTATCTGACATTCTTGTAGATTGGTTATTTTTCCTACAATAAATAATATTCATTTGTAATAAAAACATCATAAACAAATATGTTTTTTAAAAATTAAGTATTAAGACAAAATAACCCAGCGAAAGTTTTTAAATCAAATTACCTGCACATTTCCCATAATGCAATCATCATCTTATAAGTCACGCATTTTTTTAAGTGAAATACTGTTTCTTGTAGGTAATTACTGGGTGATTCCATGTGACTTTGGTTGTGTGTATGTGAAACATAAATAAACTACATAAACTTATAATTATTTGATCATTAGTCGAAAATTTAATTAATTTAATTAGTGGGTCTTGCAGTTTGTTTTTTGACGAAATGTTCAGTTATCTATAAAAAGCAATGAAGTTTTTACGTATTTTGTGTGTTTTAGTTTTAGTTTCGGTAAGTTTAACGTATTTTGAATATTTTGGTGCCCAACTGGTGAACAATTTACGTATTTTTAGATTGCAGTAAATTCTTTAAATTTAAGTCCAGAAAATGGTTTTATTAAACGTGTAAATGGTAAGTTTACAGAATTAATAGGTCCAAAAATATATATTTCATTTTTTTTTAAAGGTAACATAGATAAAAGATCAGCCAGCATAGGCTCAAGTAGTGATCAAAACAACAATAATAATGATAATAGGGCATCAACAACGACAAAAAAACCAATAGTAAAAAGTAAAATGAAGAGAACCGGTGGAGGAGGCAGAAGACGCAAAGGCTAAACATATTGATGCAGTCTTAGACAATAGTGTTAATTAGGTTTAGATACATATCTAATGTCCAAGGGTGTACGTTATTTAGGAAAACAGGTTTATTTTTTTGGAAAATAAGATTAATTTTTTTTATAATAACTTATAAAGAATACATTCTAAATTAATACTGTCTTATTGCTGGGGGCACAGGCGGGCATTCATCCTCATCTAAAGTGTCGTCTATGACCGGTTTATAGCAAATATTAACCTAAAATTACAATAATATACCTACATCTGTTTATTTTATTTTTTTGTTTATATAATACCTCTCCACTTTCTAAATCTATATAAGCCAACGTATGTTTCCGCCAATGGCACTCAATGGGTAGTTCTTCTTGACCTTCCAAAGGTTCTGCAAAGTTGAATTCATCTAGTCTCACCTGAAAAGACATTTAAACAATTAATTTGAATTGATGGGGGGTAATTTTACCTTGTAGTCATCTCTTGCGTGGGCCCCTCTGGATTCCTTCCTATTCTCCATTGAATGGATAGCTAGGAGAGCTATGGGAAACAGGTTATTTAACTCTAGAGCCTCCATAAAATCCGTATTCCATATAAGAGAGCTTCCAGAGACCTTTACGTCTGGTAGCTTGTGGTAGAGCTCTGTAACCTTGTCGCAGCCTTCTTGAAGAAGTTCCTCAGTCCTAAAAACACCGGCGTATTTCTGCATGGTGTGCTGAAGTTCAAGCAAAAGAGCACCCGATTTTATGCTTCCATTTTGATTGCACCGTATTTTTCTAACCCTTTCGATGCCACATTTACCGGATTCCTTGAAGAAAAACCTTAATTTTTAAATAGAATCATAAATCTTAAGCCTCGGATTTAACAAATAAATAATGCAATGTAAAAATAAAGTGGGTATATTAAAAACACAATAATCTTATAAGTTAATAGGTTCTTATAGCTGGAGGTACAGTTGGAACCTCTGTGGAATCCATTGTTTGATCAATAACAGGTTTGTAGGTTATTTGAACGTCTCCAGATTCCATATCGAACCATGATAATGTATGCTTCCTCCAATGCTCGTCCAAGGGCTTTTTTACCTGACCATGTACAGGTTTGCTATAGTCAAACTCATCAATTCGTTTCTAAAATATAAAAATCACTCAGAATTTTCATTTCATTTTATAGATTATTTAAAACATGTTTATTCAGTAATCTAAATGTGAAGTTTTTGGTTTTTTTCGCTGTATCAAAAGAAAAAAATGGTTGCATCAAAAATTATGGAAAAAGTTTAAACAAGACCGGTATAAGCAGCGTACATTGCTGATAATCCACAATCCACGCATACCCATGGGTTGCAAAGAGCCAAGGTTTGAGAAAGGAATTAGTCAACTTTTTCCCAATTAAGTTTGGTGTACAACATTTTACATTTATTGGGATGAGATGAGTCTACTTGGCAACCCATATTGGTGTTAGACCTTGTGTAAAAGTAGTTGAGTCAAAATGCCAATAGCAAAAGGATTAAACTCATTGTTGAAAACACTGAAGATTAAAGTGCTGCCCTGAAAAGTTGTGATTTGCGACTCCTGTTTATTGAATCGTGTTTTATTTTTATATTTTTTGCCTCTATACCTATGCACGACTATACTTACAGGCAAACTCAATGGTGTCTTACAAGATACATTATTTTAATTTTCTATATTCAACAGAGAGGTGGAAACTCGACCCTGTCGAATGGAGCAGTCATTTATGTCTCTAGAAATTATTGAAAGAGGAGGCAGTCCAATGGTGCAGCAACTTAGGATTCTTATTCTCTTCAGAGACATAGAAACTTCAGCTTTTAGAATTTTACTGGCTATGATTTTCGTTAATGTCCCCGAGAATTATACAAAAACAGCGCAATGCAATATCGCAACTGTTTCGACTTCTCTTTACTCTACCAAGTTATAGAAACTGGAGTCTCTCTAATACTGTAACAACAGTTGTAGTCAATATTTCTGAGAGCATAAAAAGAGGGTGTTATTTAATATTGCAAGAAGTCTTGATCTTTTGATGAATGCAAGTATTTTGAATATTCTCATTTCTCCTTATGATTTTGGTGAAAACAGTTCCTTTCTTTGGTTCCTCTGTCTGATTTTTATTTACCGTAACAACTCAGGTATGTAAAGCACAGAGGATTTGATGTAAAGTATATTTATGTATTATATAAAGTACCTTTATTTGTATTAAAAATTTCAGGGGTTATGTTGAAAAAACGATCGATATGCTATTAAACTTTAATAATTTAGTAATGAAGTCTGTTGGTAGACCCTGCACTATCTCCACTGGTATATGTTAGTACAGCAATATTTAAATCTGGTTGATCAAAAAGTACACACCAGTGTGCATCTACGAACAATCATAAAATAATTGTCATATTAATACTAGTTCAAAAGTCAAATTACGACCTCTATACTGTGGAGAGTATTGAAACGCTCGACTGACGAATACAAATCTATACCGTGGCGAGATTTATTCTGAACTTCACAAGATGTTCAGGAAGGTTTGGAAACCTAGGGGTAGAAAAATAGGAGAGTGTCTAAAGACTACGAGCCTTCCCAAACGTATTACACTAAATCCTTGTTTTACTCAAGGGAACAACAAAAACTGACCTAAATCGAACTTTCGGAGAAAACGAAAATTCATATGTTCGTAAGTCATTACTACCTTGTAATCGTCTCTTGCGTGAGCTCCTCTAGATTCCTTTCTATTTTCCATGGAGTTTATGCACTGCAATGCAACAGGGAACAGATTGTTTAGTTCCAAAGCTTCCATGAGATCAGTGTTCCAGATTGCAGAACCGCCAGCAACCTAATGGAGAGTGTTTTAAAAACTATTTGTGTCTCGACAAAATATCGCACCTTAACGTGTTTTAACTCCTGATACAAAGCCTGGACTTGCTGGCAACCTTCTTGTAGCAGCTCCTGGTTTCTGAAAACACCAGCATACTTTTGCATGGTGGTTTGTAACTTCAATAGAAGGTTTCCCGGAGGAATTTTCCCTTTTTTGTTGAATCTGATTTGGTTGATCCTTTCGAAGCAACATTTTCCGTGGTCCTAAAATGAATCACAGAACTTGAGAAAAAACTGGAATTATCCACATCATACTTAACTTCACAATAAATAGGAAAACCCACACATACACTTGGTGAACTGTTTTGATTCAAGTCAATATGGTTTTAGGGTGATACTTACCTCAGTCAAGTCGCAAATCTCGTCCCCGGGGCAATTGTTTTCCGTTATGTGATCGGAAACAGCTTTTCCGAAAATCACCAACTCCAACAGGGAATTTGCGCCCAATCTATTGGCCCCATGCACCGACACACAAGCGCAAGTTCCACATGCATACAGCCCTTGTATTGGCAAGTCTTCTCCATCATCCTAAATTAATAAAACCATGTAAAATTCCGTCATTTTGAACACATTTTTGCTTACCCCTTGAGTTACCACTTGTCCGAAAATGTTGGTAGGTATGCCGCCCATGGGGAAATGTACAGTTGGTATCACTGGAATGGGCTCCTTAAACACGTTAACACCGGCGAACTCCATTGCTGTTCTGGTGATTCCAGGAAGTTGTTTTTGTAGTTTGTCCTTCGGCAAATGGTGTAATTGCAGGTAGATGTGGTCCTTTTTAGGTCCACAACCACGACCTTAAAAATAGATTTAATATGCTTTGGTGTTTGACAAAACGTCTTGAGAACCTTCTAGAATCTCCATTGTCATACTTCTGGACACCACATCTCTTGAAGCCAGATCTTTCGCCGTTGGAGCGTATTTTTCCATGAACCTTTCACCTTTACCGTTAACTAAGAAACCCCCTTCACCTCTGGCACCTTCAGTAATCAAAACTCCAACTCCATAGATACCTGGAATGTCCCGAAACATAGTAAAACATCCAGAATTTGAAACCTTTAAAACCTGTCGGATGAAACTGTATAAATTCTAGATCCTCCAGGGGAATTCCAGCTCTGACCACCATAGCCATACCATCACCTGTTGTAGTATGAGCTGTGGTACATGAAAAATAACACCTTTCGAAACCACCAGTCGCAATAATAGTGTTTTTTGCGGCAAATCTACAAAATTTCCCCATTGATTTAATATAATCGACTACACAGCAAACGGAAAAATATAGAAGTGTATAGGATGACTCCCCGTTTGAATACGAAGTTTTATCAGAACTGTTTTGAATCGTGCTTTGTTTTTATATTTTTTGCTTCTATACCTATGCAAGACTATAGTTAAAGGCAAACTCAATGGTGTCTTACAAGATACATTATTTTGATTTTCTATATTCAACAGAGGTAGAAACTGGACCCTGTCGAATGGTGGTCATTTATGTCTCTAGAAATTATTGAAAAAGGGGGCAGTCCAATGGTGCAGCAACTTCGGATTCTTATTCTATTCAGAGACATAGAAACTCAAGCTTTTAGAATTTTACTGGCAATGATTTTCGTTAATGTCCCCGAGAATTATGAAGAACAGCCCAATGCAATATCGCAACGGTTTGGCCTTCTCTTTACTCTACCACGTTATAGAAACTGGAATCTTTCTAATACTGTTGTAGTCGATATTTCTGAGAGCATAAAAAGAGGGTGTAATTCAATATTGCAAGAAGTTTTGATCTTTTGATGGATGCAAGTACTTTGAATATTCTCATTTCAGCATATGATTTTTTTGAAAACAGTTCCTTTCTTTGGTTCCTCTGTCTGATTTTTATTTAACGTAACAACTCAGGTATGTAAAGCACGGAGGATATGATGTAAAGTATATTTATGTATTATATAAAGTACCTATATTTGTATTAAAAATTTCAGAGGTTATGCTGAAAAAACGATCGATATGCTATTAAACTTAAATAATTTAGTAATGAGGTCTGTTGGTAGACCCTGCACTATCTCCACTGGTATATGTTAGTACAGCAATATTTAAATATGGTTGATCAAAAGTACACACCAGTGCCGGTTATTGTAGCATCTACCAGGGCCATAGATAATAAACCAGGGCTGGATGCTCCCGTGACACGGGACCCGTGTACGAGTTTTGGTTCGTCCCGCGCATGACGTCACTTGATGAGTAGTTGCCGTGAGAATAAACGAATAATAGTAATATTATCAAAGAAAATAGAGAAATAGAGCTTATGGGACATCTTAGTTTGGATGTAAGGGTGGAACTAGAAGAGCACTTTATAACTTTATATGGACATAGTGCGTTTTTATTAAACTTTATATTGAAGAAAGTGTTATAATATGGATAATAGATGCTTTCAGTCCTTGATAACATTTAGGGCTGTAGTTTAAGCGTTGCAACGCTTTGGTGTTTTAAATTAAACTTATAGTCACTGTCCAGAAAATGTTTATAGGAAACAGAAGCGGTCTTAACGTTAATATTGTCTATTATTTTTGTGGCATTTAAACACTGTTTCCACAAGTCAAACTTTTTCGGGAGTCGATGAAATTTAATGTTTTTATTCAAAGGGTTTTTCTTCGACTGGACAAACCGAACAAGTTAATGCAACACTAAAACAATAATAAACAAACAGAACAGGTTAACACAACGCAAAAACAATAATTTGAACACTGAAAAGTAATTCGAACCTTACCGTACACAAAAAATAGTTAACATCCAAAAGCATCGCAAAAACAAAAATTTTAGCAGCAGATAATAAAAAGCAAGTTAAAGATTTAAAAACACTCATCAAGTGACGTATTTAAGCCCCGCCCAACATGCGCACCATCCTATCTTAAGGTGTATGTATCTTGGCATCTACGAACAAATGAATTAATGGCCCATTTGCAATTATTCCTTTAGGAAAAATATCGAATTTAGTTTTTTTTTCAAACACAAAATAATTTTCATATTAAACTAGTTCAAAAGTCAAATTACGACAGTATAGATACTGTGGAGAGTATTGAAAGGCTCGACTGACGAATACAACTCTATACCTACCGTGGCGAGGGTTTAGAAAACTATATTCAAACGGAGAGTCATCCAATATATTGGTTTATAAACTTCTATATTTTTTCGTTTGCTGTGCACTTATAACCTGCCAACCTATGGAACGTTCCCGTCTCCAAATCCCAAGCTATAACACCCTTACACTCATTGTCTTCCATTATCAGGTCCAAAGCTATAAACTCGATGAAAAATTTGCAATGGTGTCTGACGGCTTGTCCGTATAAAGCATGCAACATGTAGTGGCCGGTTTGGTCGGCGGCCGCGCACGTCCTGTGCGCTTGCCCGCCTTTTCCGTGGTTCAAAGTTTGCCCGCCAAACGCCCTCTGATAAATCTTGCCGTCTTTGAACCTAGAAAAAGGCATCCCGGTATGTTCCAGGTCCAAAATCGCCTTGGGAGCTTCCTTGGTCATGTAATGAATAGCGTTTTGGTCTCCCAGCCAATCAGAGCCTTTCACTGTGTCGTAAAAATGCCATTTCCAGCAGTCGTCCTCGGCATTACCTTTGTATAACAACATAACAAATAAAGCATAAAAAGCACGTAAATAATTATGTTACTTAAGGCCGCGTTGACTCCTCCTTGCGCAGCTACAGTATGAGATCTTGTGGGAAAAATTTTTGTCAAACAAGCAACCTGAAAACCTTCCTCGACCAATCCGTAGGCACTTCTAAGCCCGGCTCCGCCCCCTCCCACAACCACGCAGTCGTACTTGTGATCCACACAGCATACTTTGGACTAAAAGAATTTTAGGCCTTTAAGGCTCCTTAAGAGCAAATACTATTAAAACAGATATACCCCTTAAGTACGGAAATAATTTTCGGTATTTTTTGTTAGATTGCGAAGTGGTACTTACATTGTCCGCAAAATATCTTATATTTCGTAGTTTAAGGCTGGTTTTTGCGGTTTTTAAAAGAAAATTCATTCTGTAAAATATAAATACTTTTAAAATGTCAGATTGACAAATACAGCCTACTTTTGTTTATTTATAACAGGCATATTTTATTTTAAAAATTATAAATAGGTAAGTACTTAAAAACAATTGTTTTCTTATTCAAATTTCTAATCAAAAATACCTATTTATTTTTATTTAATATTTTGAATAGGTAGGTAAGAAATTTGTAAATTAAACCATATAATTATATGAATTAAACATTAAACACCGACATCTATTCAAGAATGCCTGAACTAAGATACGGTTTTCTAATATATCAATTTGAAGGTTAATTTAAGGTTATTTTATAACCACAAATTTGACAGCCCTGATAGAATAAGGTTTATTTTTTACAAAAGAGGAGTAAAATGATTGTTCTTACCACTTTGAGGTCTGTTTTAAGGCTTGCAAGTCTCTCTGTAAGAAACACAACGTTTAAAACGATTATTAATCTGTACAAACCCAAAGCACAAAAATTGTAAACAACAAAAATGGCCGCCATTGGATGATGTGCACTTGTGACCTTGAATATCGCGTAACTGTAGATTATAGAATCTATAATAGGTATAGATTCTATGACTGAGACTTTTAAGGCAGCTTATAAAATGTAAAAATCCAAGTTTTTAGCATATTACTTTCATTCTCATATTTATTTGACTGACTGTGGATTTCCATGAATATACAATTTAAGTAAATAAAACGCAGTTGAACAGTTCAAAAAACAATTTTATTGAAAAAGTATATAAATTATACTCTATAGACAATGAATTCTGTACAAAAACAGTAAAATTTAGAATCACAATAAATAAATCGACTCTAAAGCTTGTTAATGCTTTTTGTTCATCAAAATAAACCTTGTGGTAAAAAAAATACGGTTTATTCTAATGAATTTGACAACAATTTTTGCTGAAACCCAGCAAATAACAATCAAAATTGCTGCACCCTTTATTTACACGATTTTCACAGTAAAACAACTTTTTAAAGTTAGTTTTTAGTACATTAGACAAATTGTTCATTACTATTGGCAGAAAGATCCAACAGCCTCCATGCCGCTCTTGGATCAGGCTCCGTTGGATCTCTACACAAGACCCAAACGTATGTTACCCTCATTACTTTCTCGGGATCCCCTTCTACAACATTATCACTGCCGTCTTTTACACACATCATCTGCTGGGATTGGAAGGAAATTATCAAAACTGGGCCCTGCTCCATTACCTTACCCATTACCAGGTCTACATTGTCCACATCTAGGATTTTCGACTCGATTCTATAACCTAGAAATAAGAGAAACGTCAAAATTTTGTGTCAACTGTCAAACATTTTGAGGTTATATCTTCTTCTTCTATATTATGTTGAGGCCTCATGTCAAAATTTGACGTTTGAAACATGGAGCCTCCATGGTTTGAAACATGTAGGCTCCATGGTTTGAAACTTCAAAATGTTTCCAAATTTGAAAATTTCAAAGTCAAAGTTTGAGGTTATAAAAATAAAAATTACCTTTTTTGTAGGCTTCTTTGATAGGTATGGCAAAAATGTTGTATGGGCCTTCATGACACCAGTCTTTGAGAACTTCTAAATCCCCGCGTGTCATGGCTTCGAGGATGTTTGGAATAATATCAGTTTCGCATTGTTTTAGGAACCTTTTGGTGTCGAAAGTGTTGTCAATTTTGCAGATTTCTGTGAGGGTTTCTGATAGTTCCGTTTTCGAGAACAAACCTCCCACAACGTCTGAGACTTTTTCCGTTAGAACTCTTGAAGCTCTGATAAGGGGGTTATCACTTTCATCATACTTTAATTTCCAATCCATTACTTTGTGAACGTAGGGGTTGTTGTCTTTGAAACTTTGCCACGACTGGTAGAATTTTGAGTCTTTGTGTAGTTCTATGCCTGTTGCTTCCTCATTGGGTTCATAGAACTTCACGTTTTGCACTGCAGATGTCTCTGTTCTCTTCCTTAACTTTGTGGGACTCACATAAACTCTGCCCTCCATACTTGTAGTGTCAATCTCTTTTTTAACTGCTTCGGCTGTCTGCGATATGCTTTGAAATGCGCTTGTTTTGCCGATTTCTTGTGCTTTTTCCGTGAATGAGGTGGTTGTTTTACCAATACCTTCAGAGATTTTACCAGCTTTTTTTGCAATATCTGATTTACCCACTTCGTCAACAACCCCTTGCACTTTTTCTTTAATACTATCAAACTTCTCCTTAAACACTTTACTTCCCTCACTAGCTTCCTTCTCTACAGTCTCAAATTTGTGCCTGGCAGCTTTCAACGCATCACTTTGCTCCAATTTTTGGGCCTCCTCTCGAAATTTCTTCAGCGACTCTTTCATTTCCTTGTTCTTCGCCATTTCGTCGCGGAAATTGTCGTACAAACGCGATATGAAAGTCTGCCGCCGCTGCTCTTTCGAATACAAGCGCAACTACAAAGATTATGATTAATTTCACAGTATGATTGTGTAACAGCCTCAACTTACCCCATTGTGAGATTTTGTTATTGAGCAACGCAGTAACGCGTAGTTTAGTCGGTGCATCGCGATTTTGAAACTTAAATTTTTACTAATAAACACCTAAAACACGAAAAAAACACGATTTTAAGCGATTTATAACATAACCTAGCCTATGACAGATTTGACTTTGCATGCTTTTCAGCGAATTTAACCACAAATAAACCACCTTAACGATCAACTATTAATCATTCATCATTGTCAAGTCATTTACCTTATTATTTAATTGTTGTTAAGTCTAAAAACTAACTAAAATCGAATAAAATCAAAGTGACAGATATGTCCCCTATTTTAAGGTTAAACCTCTTCTTCTGCACGATCCATAGATTAGATCCATATCTCTGATTAGATCAAGTACGATCTGTCAAAGGAAGAAGAGGAGTGACGTTCAAAGGTTATGTTATTGATTGAGGTTATGTACCTTGTTGATTTTCCATAAATAATGGAAATAACGCCTATTACAGTGAATTCCATACCATTGGGAGATAATACAAATGAAATTAATAAAGATGAAAACCAAATACAAGTAAATATGACGTTTATTAAATAAAACATTATTTTGTATGATGTTTACTTTTAAGGATATAGATAGTGAAATTAAGGATCCTGATGATTTAAGGAGTGAAACTAGGCTACCTTTAAATGTAAATTACGTATATTTTCATAAATTTCATATATTTATTGGGTATTTGTTGTAGATGGCACCTGGTGCTGTGAAGCTACGATCCTGGCTTAACAAACCTCTAAGAATTAAAATGACAGACGGTAGGACGCTGTTAGGCGTATTTTTTTGCACTGATAGAGACGCCAATATAATATTAGGCTCTTGTACTGAATACTTACCAGCTGACGACACCAAAGCTAGTCTTAATGATGAACCTAGAATGTTAGGTTTAGTAATGATTCCTGGTCGCCATATTGTAAAAGTAGAGCTGGATGTTAATGAAAATTATTCGGCTTTTAATATTGTGAATGATCAGGAAGAATGCTAGGGTTAATTTTTATTTATATATTTTTTGGATTTATTAGCATTTAAAACATAACTACAAAATGTTATCAAAATCAGTTACATAAATCACATTTTTTTTATTTAAAACAATTACAAAATAGTTAATACTAAAAAGCTAAAATACAAAATTGCCTAAACTTTATTAATAAGAAGCTCCATCTATGTGATAGGGATTAAATTAAAAAATATTTGGTTTTATTTATTTATTATATTACAATTTTATCGACAGGCAATCTCTTGGTAAACCCTTCTTTTCTGCTTGTGAGATTGTTCATTAATATTTTTATTTGGGACTCTGTAATAGACAAATAAAAAAACACTGTAAGTAGCTAGAAATAATTTATTAAGCCTACAATTTACAAAACTAACTATTTTCGTTCATTAAGCGGTTCATACCCATGCTTTTCTATCCTTTCCTTGAATTGGAGGTAATTTCTTTTTCTGTCGAAATGTTTCACCCACTGTGCTGAACAAGACTTTTCATACACTTTTTTGAACTCTTCGCAGATGTTTTCTTTTTTTGGGTTTGTGTCCAAACACTCCCAGTATTTGTCCCTTGCTCCCCAACAAACGGAACGCTCTTCTTTTGTTGGAAATGACATGACTGAAATTATATTTATTTAATCATATTAAAATGATGTGGTAGATAGTTCAAAATAACAGCAAATCAAAATTCAGTTTTTGATGATTTAAAAATAGACACTTCCCGCGAGCGGTTTTATTCAAGGTGGACAAAAATAACACACTTATAATACGATATTTATTTGATATCATGTATTGTATTGGATAAATATAAAAAATATATTGTAGTAAAAACTATTAATAACTAGAGATCCGTATATTTAACGTCAAAATATATGTTACATTTGGATTTATCAATATTTTAAAAATACACACCAAATTTTATCAAAATCTATAGTGTTCTAATAAAGTTATTGCAAAAAAGTTTGAATAAAAAATCATTCAAAAAATTCATTTTCTTAAAAACCATCAATTTGGTTAATTTTTGAATGGAACATTTTTTATGCAAAATTTTGCACTTAATCAGGATTTTTAAACAAAATTTGAAAATTCCATATACAAAAACAGTTACAACAAATTTTAATCAAAACCAAAAAAACTTAAAAACACTATAGTGTGTTTATAAATCTTAATTTTCTCGAAAACTGCTGTGTTTACAAAAAATACATAAAATCATAATTTGTGTGTAATTTCACAATGATTTTATAACATTTTACAAAAATTTTAAATCCCTAAAACTAACAAAGTTATGGTCAAAAATAGTCTCAAATATTAAAATTTAAACACTTATTAAAACACCCTGTATTAAAATACTATCTAAAATATGGCGGAACGATTTTTTGACTGTCAACAACTCCCACACAATTTGATTGTATGCCAAAAAAAATTGTTAGCGCTCCAAGTAATTTGATTTACTATTGTGTATTTCTGACCGAGATTTTTTATCAATGAATTAATATCCTTTTTCAAAATTAAGTTTAAATGGAATGTTATTTGTTTCTTCGTAATATGTTAGGTTTTTTTGGAATTGTAGGGCTACATCTTTGGGGTTACTAAACCCCGAAACGTGTGGGGTTATAAAGACATTTTCGTATGTCCATAATTTACTATTTTTGTCCAGGGGCTCTTTTTGAAAAACGTCCAAAATCGCCCCATTAATCCATTTATTATCCAACGCTTTTATAAGGCTTTCTTCTAATATTACATTTCCTCTTCCTATATTTATAAAAATAGCCCCTTTTTCCTTACAATTCTCCAAAATATCATCACTTAATAGGTCTGTAGTTTCAGCAGTTTTGGGCATAACGTTTATAAGATAGTCAACACTTCTTAATAATTCTTTTAAAGTATTTTTAGTGAAATACTTCTCTATAAATGGATACTCCTTATCATCATAGGTATTCCTTCTTCCATAACCATATATTGTCCCCCCTAACAAACTTAAATACCTCCCGATTCTCCCCCCAATATTCCCCAACCCCATAACACCAAATGTCAGATCTCCTATACTCCTATACCCCTCAATTTTACCTTCCGTACACCACAATTTACCCCTCTGATTCTCCCTAACCCTGAAAAAATCCCTTTCGAAGTTAACCACATTCCCCAAAACGTACTCCCCCATAATTCTCCCGAATACGTCCCCTGAAAACCTGGAAATCTCGAAATTCGGCTCTCCTTTATTCAAATACGCCGCCAATTTGTCGGTGCCTGCCCACGTGCCTTGCACCCACTTCGCGTTGGGCAGATCATACAAGTGAGGACCAATCAAATCGAAGTCTGCGATTATGATCCTGGATTGTTTAAAATCTGCGTCGTTTTCAGGTGTTTTGACTTCTTTAAATGTTTGGTTGGGTAAGATTCGTTGTAATTCCTTAACGAGGTTTTTTGTGTTGGTTAATACGGATATTATTCCATGCATCCTTCAATAGAAATGTGTGATAGTAATTTTGTTGAGCAGTATAAGTTAGTTTTCAAATTTCGCGGTCGTCACGTTGGTATGAGATACGAAAGTAACTAGATCTGTCATATTTTTGTGGAAAAGTGAGGTTATGAAAATTTTGATGTAACAATTTCTTTTGATTTTATGTTTTGATCGTAAGTTTAATTTAAATATATTAATGTTAAGAATGTCTTCTTACCTAATGGTGAAGGTTTTGTTTATTTGCGTTGAATTTATGTACTTTTTCAGGGTTTCTAGTTTGACAGTTGGTGTAGGGGTGAAATAACCTGAAAATCCCTGGTTAGTTCTAAAAATTCTATCAATATGTCGGAATCTGATATTTATTTTTATAGCTAGATTTTCTATGAACGTTCGGTAAAAGCGGTTTTAAATTAAATTAATTATAATGAATAAAAATGTCAGCAAAAAAAAGTGCACTTCAGAAAATTATGTACAAGAAAACGTAATAATTAATAACGGGGCCGTAAACGGTGATTTAAGCCCCGAAAAATGCCCCAAAATAAACCAAAAAGACGTAGTGAAAAAATTAAACGAAGAAAACATTGAAACGCAAAAAAACATCATCAAACACAATAGAAAGAAAAAAACGAAATTAAAAGAACCTGAGGTAGTTATCGAATCAATAATAGAAACCAAAACATCACCTTCAAGTAGCAATTTAGAGAAAACTATTAACGACTGCAGTACAAAAGATATTCTTGATGTAGTGGAAAGTTTAGTGTGTATGAAACTAGATGCAAATATAAATGAAATTCAGGATTCTCCTGTGGTTTTCATACAGTACGAATCTGAGCTGCAAATGCCAATGATTATGAAAATTATACAGAAGGATCTCTCTGAGCCCTACTCAATTTATACATATAGATATTTTATACATAATTGGCCCAAATTATGTTTTTTGGTAAGTTGTTTTGTTTTAATTTTTTGTTTAAATGCACCTACAGAAAAAATAAATGAAATTAGTAAAGTTAGTCAGTCATGCAATTTTTACAAAAATCAATGTGTTTTAAAATTTATTTATTTATTAAAAGGGAATTTTACTGAGTACAGCTTTAACTACTTTTATATAATTACTGTCTCTAGTTGAACTGCCTCTTACTCAAACAGTTTAACATGTCAGAAGACAAATTGACTGTATTTAGAAAATATTAAGAATTAAATTATTATTACTTTTTGACTTTAAATTATTTGGCAATACTGCAATATCTATTAATACTGAGGTTTATTTCTAAAAATTGTTGCTATGGAGTCAATTTAACTAAGGCAGCTTAGGTTGACAGATGTATTTTTTGACAGTTTGTGTCAAAATATTAAAACTTTATACGCTAAAGAAGTATAGCTAGTAGCGCCACCACTCGGCTGTTATCATCATAACAAAAGTACAACTTTTGATAATCAGCTGTCAAACGCATGTGTTACAAACTAGTGTTTTTTAGAATAAAGCCGGAAAATGTTAAAAAATATCGAAAAAAACCGTGGCTCGATTTGTTGTGTTGTTGGGTGTATTTTGAGAGGAAATCCTGGGTTGAGTTTTTATCGGTTTTCCAATAAACAGTGTTAATCCGAATGAAGAAATAAATTTCATACAGTTCCTGTAAATATAAATTGTATCTATTAGATATAATAAATACACATTTTAGTAATGATTAACGTGAAAAGTGTAATCATTTAAATTCAGTAATATTCGTCAAACAAATAAGTCGTCTAAATTTAAACAGCATTTAGCATTATTAAAAGCGTTGATTAAGATTTTTTTAAAGTCTCCAGTCAACGGTAAAATACCATTATATTATGTATTATATATAATATTATGTTGCCATGAATTCGTAGGTATATTTTGTTGTTTAAAATGCAGGTGTCGGCGTTTTTTAGAGAACTCAAATGGTTGATTTTTAGGTTATGTTTGTGCAAAAATTATTTTTTACTAATTTCTTAAAAATGTCCAAACTTAAATATAAATTGTATTAGGTAAAGTTATCATTAGTTAATTATGCACCAACAAATTTACTTACCGAATTGGATCCTTTGGCAAAACATGAAAATGCAACGATTTAGTTCTTGAATTTTATTTACAATTAAAAACACAATAATTCGCCATGATAAAATACACACACCAACGTAACTATATAAGCATTTAAGCGTTGAGTTTCTTAATCAATGATATAAGGAATAATCAATCGAAATTCAGTAATAAAAAAGTTTTTTAATTTTTTCCTACGTAAAACACAAATAACGTGCGCGATTTAGCTGTGCAATTGAACAAAATTTGTCGAGTAAGACTTCTGCCTTCCTCTCTTTTGTGAAAAAACTACCTATTTATTTAAAAATGATGTATAATCTGTGCTCTAAATGTATTGTTGACAATTCTTAAATTCACGCCAGATGGCGCGCGCGTTGCGAAAACCCGATACTTCTTTAGCGTATTGGTTAAATTTTCTCCGAGAAATTATATTTTGTAATAAAAGTTAATAAAAGTATTCTTATTTTGTATTTCCTGTGAACTTTAACATTTTTACCTGAACGATTTTAAATGATGTAGGTAGGTACCCAGTATAAATGTATTTATATCGTTTTAGGCAATGTGTGGAGAAAAATGCGTGGGCGCCATAGTTTGCAAGCTCGACACCCACCGCAAAGTAATAAAACGGGGTTATATAGCAATGTTGGCCGTGGACAAAGACTACAGAAAAAAGCGCATCGGCTCAAAACTCGTAGAGCTAGCCATAGAAGAAATGATCAGGGGAGATGCAGACGAAGTGGTACTCGAAACCGAAGTTACCAACAAATCCGCACTGCAATTATACGAAAAATTAGGTTTTGTTAGAGACAAACGTCTGTTTAGATACTATTTGAATGGTGTGGACGCTCTGCGTTTGAAATTGTGGCTTAGATGAGATTTTATTAATCGGAAATGCCATAAATATTTAAGTTTTCTCGTTTTGTTAGCTTTTTTTTCAATTATTTTATCTCTGTTATATGTTGTTTGATTATTTTTGTTGACAAAAATGCAGTTTAATCACAAGTTCGCGTTTTTAGGTTAACTCCGCCCATCTGTGACATTTTTAGGTTAACCACGCCCACATTTCATTGTGTGATTTTTCACTGCGTTAATGTTTTTGTACATACAAATGTATCTACCAAAAAATAATACTTTAGTATTTAAGCAATACTTTATGGCATTATTAAAAAAACTTAAAAAATGAGACTGTTTTTATTACAGCTTGACTAATTTTGTTTTATTTTAGGACTTTTTTTTTTAATTTTTTTTATGTAAAAAGGGTCAACATTTTCAAAGTCTCACTATACTTAATTGCTGTAAAAGTCATTTAATAGCTTTTGTAATTTCCCGAAATTAACTAGTAACAATTGAAGAACATACCAACTAAAAAAAAATAAATTTATATCATTTACGTTGGTTTGTTCTGAATAATTTTAAGTATGGTAAAGTGCTTGTATATGTTTGTATTTACAAGTGTTATAACTGTGTAAATTTTTGTATATAATATTTTATTAATAATATGAAGTGTTATATAATATAGTATACCAAAATTTATAACATAACAACCTCTTTTATTTATCCTTACAAGGTGAGAAAAATAAAACCAAAATAATAACAATAAAAATCATTTATTCCTAAAGTTTTCCGTTTTCCTTTTAACAGATTTAACCAGCAGACTGAGTTCAGCATTTTTACTGCTTTTCTTCTCAACCTTGGGTTTTTTGTTTGTTTTTTCCTCATTATCATCGTTTCTTCTCTTTAATTTCTCCGTTATTAACGTTTCCATAGCTTTGGTTTTCTTGAAATTCGGATCAGTGGGGTCAATATTGAAATGATGGCTTGTAAAAAGCGCGGAAAATCGGTCATCGTCGACATTAACATCAAAATCATCTTTTGTTTCTTCAACTTGCCTTTTCTTGTTCTTCTTCTTCTTTGATTTGCTGGTGTTCTCTTCATCCTGTATTTTCTTCAAGTTGAAGTGTTTTTTGTTGTCCTCTTCATTCATCAGTAAGAGTTCTAGTTCGCCGTTATCTTCATTTTCCGAATGTGATTCTTCTTTCCTGGGTTTGGATTTCTTCTTCTTGAATTCACTGTTTTTAAATTCTTCCGCGAAATACGGATCATTCATATCTATATCCGAGGGTACATCAGAGTTTTCTTCACTTGAATCTTCATTATCATTCTTCTTTTTTCTCTGTTCGCGCTTTTCCTTGCGCTTCTCTTTCTTCTTGTCCAAAAACTGTTGGAAGGGAGTTTTTTCTTCTTTTTGCTCCAATTTCTTCTTCACCATCTTCTCAGTTTCCTCCTTCAGCCCCAAACCCCATGTAACTTCCATTTGTATGTCTTTATTCTTCTTTTCAAACTCTTTGTCCTCAATATCTTGCAGTAACGCCTTATATTTGTCTATAGCATTACCTTTGTTTGATTCTTCATTCTCCGAGTCGCTTTCTTCATTATCTTCTTCCTCTTCATCACTGCTACCAGCCAAATAGTTCTGAAGATCGTTTTCCGTAACATCGTCAATTTTACCGCTGTTTAATTTCTGCGCTATTTCCATCCTATCAGGATTTGTTTCGTCCCAAGTTAAGTCGACTTTAGCTTGTTGCAGAGCGGTTGTAGTAAAAAATCTCGGCTCATATTTGTCGGGAATATTACTACAAGTCTCCTTGGGGTCGTCATCAAACGTCATGTCGTCTGGTATGAAGCGTAAGTCCATTTTTGTAGCGCTGGACTCATACTCCATACCGTCACATTCAGTGTAAATTTTATTGGCCGAATTTGGCGAATCAAATGTCACGACTGCGTAGTAATATTTAAGGCGATTCAGTTGGTACTGCCGGAGTCTCTCCATGTGGTATTTTGAACCTAAAATAAAAAAAAATAGCGTTACTTTGAGGTTTATGTTCTGTGGTTTAACTGATCTATTGTGTTTTAGAAGCACCTTGATTTTAAGCGTTTTTTACTTATGTTTTGTGTTATGAATTATTTAATTAATCGTTTTTAATATATATATTATTATATAGGTATGTATATTAGACTGGGCCAAAAAAATTGACTATTTTTTTTGTATATCGAAAATTTGTTTGTGGTGACAAAAAAAAATATGGTGAAAGTTTGAGTCCATAATATTAATATTAAGAGGTCTATCATCGCAATTTTAGATTTTTTTTCCTGAGCGAGTTTTTGTCTCAGAACTCCCAAATCATTGAGTTTAACAAAATTGACTTGGGAATATTTTTTGAAGAAAATTGAATGCTCTACAAAAAAGGTTTGATTGGAATTTCCCGTCAGATGAACCGTTTTCTTACAATCATGCCTTAAAATTGGTATAGTTTTACAATTTGATCTTTTAACTTTGGAGTTTTGTAATTCATGTAAAAATCGGTACCCTGAAAAAAAACCGATAAATATTCTTATGGGAGATCAAATGCTCTACAAAAAAAGTCTTTTATCATTTTTGGATAAATTCACTCCATCAAAAGTTATTCAAGGTTAAATTTGAAGTCAAAACGAAATTTTAACCTTGAATAACTTTTGATTGAGTGAATTTAGCCAAAAATGTTGAGAGGCTTTTTATGTAAAGCATTTGATTTCCCATAAGAATATTTATCGGTTTTTTATGGGTACTGATTTTTACATGAATTACAAAATTCCAATTTAAAAGATCAAAATGTAAAACTATATAGTATATACCAATTTTTAAGGCATGATTTTAAGGAAGGTTCATCTGACGGAAAATTTCACTTTAACCTTTTTTGTAGAGCATTTAATTTTCTTAAAAAAATATTTTCGAGACCATTTTGTTAAACTCAATGGATTGGGAGTTCTGAGACAAAAACTTCCTGAGGAAAAAAAAATAAAATTGCGATGATACACCTCTTAATATTAATATTATAGACTCAAACTTTCACAATAATTTTTTTTGTCACCCTAAACCATATTTTCTATATACTTTTAAAAAAAAAATAGTTGAATTTTTTGGCCCAGTCTAATGTATATATAAATGTTGAAAATAAATAAACTTTAATGATTAACTCTGCCCATCTTTAAAATTATTAGTCGCTTTTTAGGTTAACCACGCCCCCATTTGATCGGGTGACTACTTGATTTTTTAGTAGTATTAATAGATAATCTATTATAGATTATCCATTAATTATATTAAAAATGTAATACAGTTTTGTATATACCCTCTTCAGTTTCTTCATCATTTTCTTCATCTGGTTTTGCATTTAATAACTCTGTTGGACCCTTAACCTCCTCCTCTGCCATTCTTTTCTTCCCAAACTCACTAGGATAAATTGTAACACATTTAGCGACACCTCCAGGAGGTAAAAACGAGTTAAATAACACCAGTAAATCAACAGCTCTAATTCTATCCCAATCCATGTTACATACAGCTAACCTATTTGTGGCTTCTTCAGTACTTTCAGCTTCAGCATCCAGTTCACCCCATTTGTGATCTATATCTTCATCTTCAGAGACTGCTTCATCATCCGAATCATCATCAGAGGAACTTTCTGAGAATAATTTACTCTCTCCTCTGGCATAGTCGACTTTAAGGTTTTTAAGTTTTGATTTTACAGCGTTTGTTAAGTTGCTATCGTGTTTTATCTTCTTTTTTAACTCGTTTTCTTCTTCTTTTGGTGCCTTGACAAATTTACCTTTTTCTTCTTCATTTTCAGACTCTTCCGAATCAGAGTCTTCATCACTTAACTCATAATACCTCTTCAAATCTTCCGTAGATGTGTGATTTACAGGCCTTCCTCTTTTATCAGTGGTATATTTTACTTTAAACTTACTATCACTAAACATTCCCTGAAACCGTTTATCAATTTTCACTTTTTTCTCATTCTTGGGGATTCTACGGAACTTCGGGTCGTTTGCTATATGTGCAAAACGTTTATCCTCCATTTTAACAATTTTTACTATAAATTAATAGGAGAAAATGAAGAAACACGGTAAATATTGTTTGAAAGGTCAGGTTTAACCTTACTTTTTCAGCATGTGTCAATTGCATTGCGTTGTTGTCAAGTTTTTCTGTATCAAAATTGTTCCCAATAGATTTTTAATTTTATTAATTGAGAGTTTTTGAAAATTTATTATTAAATTTGTATAATATTAATTAATTGTTATTATAAATTGTACTCCATTGAGCCATCCCATGGAATTCTATCCTTGGGTCTTATGTTACATAATGTAACTATTGGCAACATTGCATATGTCAAAGTCAATTTTATAGGTTAGATCAACAAAAAGCTTATTAATTGATGATTTAACACATAAAAAGTACGTATTCAAAGCAAAAAATTACATAACTAATATACGCTTTTCTAATAATACTTTTTTTTTTTTAACAAAGAGTATGTCTTTAACAAAAATGTCTCGAATCCAGGATGTATTAAGTATATTAAAAGCATTAAAAATAATAGCTGAAGCTGGTGTAACGCTGCAACAACAAAATTCTAAATTACTGTGGCGGAATTCGAGTTTTCGCTTGTTATTGCAAAAGGGTCTAGAAGACCCAAAATCCCATATGCCCGATGTAAGTCTAATTAACTTAAAAGAAAGCATTGACAGGGTTTGTACTGTTGTCCATGGTATCAAAGCGTATTCTGCGATTCAACAAGGTAAGTTTTGGATGACTAATACCTATTTATTCACCTGGTCTTACCTTATATGGCAAATTTAAGTGGGCAGTATTTCAACCATTTTTTTTAGGTCATAGTGTACAAAGTGGGCAAGAAAACAGTCAAAAAGTTATACACATCACTAAACCAACAACAGATGTTAAAATCAACCACACAAACAACACAAACAGTCTAAATATTGATATAAAATTAAGTGACGGTGATTTAGAGCTCCTAAAAAAGTTAGATATGGAACATAGGGCCAAATTAGTTAAAGAAAAGGACAGGAAAGATTTAGAGGATGATGCTATGATTAAAAATAGAGAAGACATGGAAAAACTTACAGTATTGCCTAACCCAAAGGCAAAACTAAAGGTAAATGATTCCTAGTTTGACAGACGTTATTTTTGTGGTTAACCTTATTGATTTTGAAATTTAAATGACAGAAACGCCAAATACGTCACAATATGCCTGTAATGTATTTTTTGTTTAGCTGTCTGAAAATGCCAAACAAAGGAAAGTTCCATCGTCAAGAATAGGCCGTATGGTGTCATTTGGTACACTTGCAGCTGGTTTAGGGTTAGGCACGGCCAGCGAATATGCCAAGAGAACTTTGGGTATTTCTCAAAGTGATCCAAAGGATGCATCAACCCTATTCATGACCAAAGCCAATTTGGACAGGATCGTAGACACTCTATGTAAAGTTAGAGGTACTTAAGAAAAAGCATTATAATTATAATTGGACAGTTAAAGACTGTTTTAATAACTTTTATTAGTTTTTAAACGACTTCAGCACATTTTAGACAATGATAAAACGTTTTGGAACATTTTATTTATTTTTAATAGAGTTTTAAACGTTTTTAAGACATCTGTGGACTTTTTAGGCAGTGAAAAAAAGTTTTAAGAAATTTTGGACAGTACCAAAACGACTTGAAAACATTTTAGACCGTTTCAGAACAATTTTAAGATATCTTAGACCACGTTTTTGGTCTTTTTAGACAGTGAAAAAAAGTTTAAAGAAATTTTGGACAGTTCCGAAATGATTTAAAAACATTTTAGATAGTTTTAGAACAATTTTAAGGTATCTTAGACCATGTTAAAACGTTTATACAGTGAAAAAAGTTTTTAAAAAAATTTGGATAGTCCCAATTGGGACTTTAAAGCGATTTAAAAATATTATAGATAGTTTTATAACAATTTTAAGATATTTTAGACCATGTTAAGACATTTTTGGACTTTTAAGACAGTGAAAAAAGTTTTAAGAATTTTTTAACAGTTCCAAAACGAATTGAAAATATTTTTGGAACAATTTTAAGATATCCTAGAAAGACGTTTTTAGACAGTAAAAAAAGTTTAAAGAAATTTTGGACAGTCCTGAAATGATCTAAAAACATTTTAGAGAGTTTTAGAACAATTTTAAGATATCTTAGACTATGTTAAAACGTTGTTTGACTTTTTAGACAACGAAAAAAGTTTTGGACAGTCCCAAAACAATTTAAAAACATTTTAGGCAGTTTCAGAACAATTTGAAGATATCTTAGACCATTTTAAGACGTTTTGGTACTTTTTGACAGTGAAAAAAGTTTTAAGAAATTTTGGACAGTCCTAAAACGATTTAAAAACATTTTAGGCAGTTTCAGAACAATTGTAAGACGTTTTTGGACTTTTTAGACAGTGAACAAAAGTTTTAGGAAATTTTGGACAGTTCCAAAACGATTTAAAAACATTTTAGTAGAGATGGGAAAATTCCCATTTGACGAAAATTCACGGAAACTTTCCATCAAAAATTCCCGAAATTTTCCGAAAGTTTCAAAAAAAAATTTTTTATTGCGAAAATATTTTTTTTTATGCCAGGGATTTGCAAAAATATATAACACTTTTTGTCAAATTTTATTAAGAAAAAAAATTAAAAAAATGTTTATAAGAATGCAACTGCAATACCTACTATTTTTAGTATCTTTTACTTTGGAATATTCCTATTGTATACTGAAACCTACAAAATAAAAATTAAATGTTTACTATTAGAAATTCACTGCTAGTAAATCCTAGATATTACGTAAAAAAATTAAAAGGGACAAAGTAACTAATATATAGGAATACTGAAAAGTAAAAAGTAAAGTAAAAAATAATTCCAAACACTAGATTTTTTTCTTGGCATTGTGCTATGCCTATAAATAAACAACAAAAATGTAAGAATGATTTTAACTTTCTTTATTGTTTTTATTTTGTTTACAATTTTTTTTTTTAAGTTTTTTGTGATGATGCTGAATGATCCGGCTTCATTGAGGTTATGTAACATAACTTACATTATTTATACTTCTTCTTCTGCTTTAAATTAACACACATTAAATTCTTATTCAAAGTTTCTTGGCCTTGTATCATGGCCTTAACGAAAATCAGCGGTTAAACAATTGACATTTAAATGAAAAAAACAAGGAAAGTTTCCAAGGAATGTTTCCGGTAGCTTAAAAGAAACTTTCAAAATTAAAATAAACTCCCAATTGGAAACTTTAGAAAACGGAAAGTTTCGTTATAATGGAAACTTTCCGATTCCCATCTCTACATTTAAGACGGTTTCAGAACAATTTTAAGACCAGGTTAAGAAGTTTTTGGACTTTATTGTCAGTGAAAATAAGTTTCAAGTTTCATTTTGTACAGTCCCAAAACAGTTCTAATTCCTACATTTTAGACAATCCAAGGACGATTTTAGGACCTTTTAGACAGTTTTTTAACAATGTTAAGGCATAATTGGCTGTAAAACACTATTTTCTATAGGTGCTGCATTAAAATTGGGTCAAATAATGAGCATTCAAGATGACAACATAATTCATCCAGATCTTGCAAAAGCATTGGAAAGAGTCAGAAAATCCGCCGATTTTATGCCGGATTGGCAAGTTGAGCAAATGTTAACTCAAGAGTTGGGTTATCAATGGCGGGAAAACTTTCTAGACTTCGAAAATCGTCCGTTTGCCGCCGCTTCTATAGGACAAGTAAGTAAAAAATTACTTTTGCAACTCCGATGTTTTTATTATCACCTTCTAGGTTCACAGGGGCAAAACGAAAGATGGCGTTGAAGTCGCCGTCAAGATACAGTACCCAGGCGTAGCGAAGGGCATAGAAAGCGATATCGAGAACTTGGCAGCAATCATGAAAATGTGGAATATTTTCCCCAAAGGAATGTTTTTGGACAACTTGATGACGGTGGCGAAGAGGGAGTTGGCTTGGGAGGTGGACTATGTGCGGGAGGCTGAATGCACGAAGAAATTCAGGGAGATTTTAAAGCCCTATCGCGAGTTTTATGTCCCGAAGGTTATTGGTGAGAAAAATGTTTATAACTTTGTAATAAGTGATGTAAATTAAATAGAATTTGGAAGTTTTTTAGACAGATATTACGGTTATAATATGTTAAAATTACAAGTCTCCAAGTTTGATAGTTTTTGAGATAACAGACAAAATGTAAAAAATACTAAAAACGCGATATTTCAAGGACTATTTTTTTTTTAAAGTATGTTGAAAATATGGTTTTGGGTTAAAAAAATTATTGTAAAAGTTTGAGTCATAATATTAATATTAAGAGGTCTATCATCGCAATTTTAATTTTTTTTCCTCGGCAAGTTTTTGTCTCAGAACTCCCAAACCATTAAGTTTAACAAAATTGACTGATAAATATTTTTTAGGAAAATTAAATGCTCTACAAAAAAGGTTAAATGAAATTTTTCGTCAGATGAAACGTATCCTTAAAATCATACCTTAAAAATTTAACTTTTAACTTTGGAATTTTGTAATTCATGTAAAAATCAGTACCCACAAAAAAACGATAAATATTCTTATGGGAAATCAAATGCTTTACAAAAAAAGCTTCTTAACTTAACTCTTAACTCACTTAATCAAAAGTTATTCAAGGTTAAAGTTGAAGTCAAAACGAAATTCTTGTTTTTTCCTCTGTAGATTTATTTCTTTATGGATGATAATTTGATTTTTTTCTTTATAAATGTGTATTTCATAACTAATTAACAATTTCCAATAAAAAGACAACATTATTGTTATTATTTAAATGATTAAATAGGTAACAGTGAAAATAATATTTTCTAAAGAAAATAGCTTCTTAAAGCGAAAAATGTGTTATTTTTTTTAAATTTTCAGTAATTTTATCAATAACATAAAAAAATCCAAGCTTTTAACTGACCCAAAAAAAATCCAGAGCGGAAAAAACAAGAATTTCGTTTTGACTTCAAATTTAACCTTAAATAACTTTTGATGGAGTGAATTTAGCCAAAAATGTTAGAAGACTTTTTTGTAGAGCCCATAAGAATATCCATAAGAATTTTTTCCGGGTACTGCTTTTTACATGAATTACAAAAAAAGTTAAAATCAAATTGTAAAACTACACCAATTTTTAAGGCATGATTGTAAGGAAACGGTTCATCTGACGGGAAATTCCAATTAATCCTTTTTTGCAGAGCATTCAATTTTCTTCAAAAAATATTCTTAAGTCAATTTTGTTAAACTCAATGGTTTGGGAGTTCTAAAACAAAAACTCGTTCAGGAAAAAAATTGCGATGATAGACCTCTTAATATTAATATTATGGACCCAAACTTTCACCATAATTTTTTTTTGTCACCCCAAACAATATTTTCGATATACTTTACAAAACAAAAATACTCGATTTTTTGGCCCAGTCTAATACAAGATATAAACTTTTATACTTTCAGAGATATAGGACATTTCACATTTAAACTTTTAGATGACCTGTCTGCAAACCAAGTCTTTACCACTGAACTCTTGGACGGTATCCCAGTGGACCAGTGTTTCGACATGGAACTAGAACACAGAGAGTTCATAGGGAAAAAAATCCTAGAGCTTTGTCTAAGGGAGATCTTGCAGTTCAGATACATGCAAACCGACCCGAACTGGGCGAACTTTTTGTACAGCCCCAGCAAAAAGCAGGTTCAGCTGCTGGATTTCGGTGCTACTAGAGAGTACTCTAGAGAGTTTATGGATAAGTACGTGAAAATTTTGAAGGCGGCCTGCGATGACGACAGGATGACCGTACTGAATACTTCAAAGGAAATGGGATTTTTGACCGGATATGAAAGTACTGTAAGTATTTTATTTTAGACATGTTCAAACAGTTTTTTGGTCCATATAGGTTTTCATAGGTTTTTTTTTAATTTTAAAATTTTTGAAAATCTTGTGAATTAAAAAAAAAATTGAAAATTTCAATTTTTTTTTAATATTTTGAAAATTTTTGAATTTTTTAAATTTTTTAACTTTTAACATATTTAAAAATTTTAAGTCTTGTATTGTTAAAAATTGTGAAATTTTTAAAAAATTTCACTTGCGTTATCTTAGATAACTTATCTACTCGTTATTCATAGTTTTAATGAAGTGTTTAGATAATTTCAGAAATTTTGATTTTTTTTTCAAATTTACGGAAAATTTTGTAAATTTAGGAAAATTTAATTTAATGTTAAGATATCTTAAAAAATATGGTAAATTGGAAAGTTTTTGAAATTTTTGGAATTTTTTTTTCAAGAGTTTTTAACAGATTTAAAATTTGTAAATAGGGGTGTGCGAATATCGTTCGAATCGAATCGAATCGAATATTGATATTCGATTCGAAATTCAAATCGAATAATTAGAATTTTCGAATTATTCGAAATTCTACGAATAATTCGAAAAAAATCGAATAATCCGAAAAATTTCGAATTATTCGAAAAATATCGAATAATTCGAAAAATTTCGAATAACCTAAAAATTTTCAAATAATTCGCGAATTAATGAAATATCTCTGGATTTTCAATTGCTTCCATTAAAATTCCTTTAAATCGGGTATCGAAATATTCTACTTACCAATAATATACTTTCCGTTAAAAAATCAATTACCCAAAAAAAAAATCTATAAGAAAAAGGTTACTCATGTAATGTTTCAGTATCGTATTTATTATTTTTGCACAAAAATTTGTAGCAAATTTTCAAATGTTGTATTTTTCATAATACTGTATTTGCTACCCCTATTTGTAAATTTTGTAGATTTTTACTAACCTTACTTGTTTCAAGGTTTTTGGATGATTTAGAAATTTTTCAAAATTTTAAGTCTTGGAATTTTGAAAATTTCCTCACCTTACTTCCTAGTTTCAACGCAATTTGAAATTGAAATTTTTGAAAATTACAGAAATTTTGAAAATATGTAAATTTTAGAAATTTTAAGTAGTTTGGATTTGGAAATTTTAAGGAATTTATTTTTAGTTTTAAACTAAACTTCAACATTTAGAAATTTTTGAAAATTTTATTTGGAAATTTTGAAAACTAAATTTTCAAAATTTAGGAACTTTTAAAATTCTAAGCTTTGACGTTATCTACTCAGCGCAGTTTTTAGATGATTTTCCTTTAGTTTTAAACAGATTTAAAACATTTTAAGAATTTTTTGAAAATTTCAAATGTTTTTAAATATTTAAAAATTCCGAAATTTTAAGTATTTTAAAAATCTTGAGACTTTTTAAAAATGTTCCATAGTTTTTAGATGACTTTCTTTTAAGTGTTTTAAACAGATTTAAAACATATATAGAAATTTTGAAAATTAGGTAAAGAAAAAACAAAATCCTTACGCCACAAATATCATCCCCTCTGCGTGACGTCACTTCCGTTTAGAGTTTTAAAATTTCCGGAAAAATTGAGCAGGCGGAAAAAAAAACCGTTTTTTCCGGTAAAAAACGGAAAAATTCCGAAATTTTCAGAAAAATTGACTTTTTATTAAAAAGTTTTTAATCTTTTAAATTTTTTCAAAGGGCAATACAAAAAAATGCAAAAGTCAATTTTTTTGAAAATTTCTAAATTTTTACGGAAAGTATCCGTGCACAAAAATTTCCGGCGCTGATTATAGTCATATAATATTATAATAATTATTTCATTTATTTTAATTCAGTAATAATATTCTACCGGGTCGCAAAAAATCATATTTGGTGCTATATTAACATAACTTTTATTTAACACTTCGATTATAAAATTATAATTTTATCATGTAAATCATTCATTATTTTATAGTTAGATATTTTAATGTACTCCATTTTGCATCAAAAAAACCCAACACACAGTACATTAAATGCAAAATACAAAAAATAAAAAACCCAACAGACAGTACATTAAATGCAAAATACAAAAAAATAAATCTAAACATTAAATTAAATTTAAGAAAATAAACGTAAACGTGAAAATTTCACGTTTACGTTTATTTTCTTAAATTTAATTTAATGTTTAGTTTTATTTTTTTTGTATTTAAGGATTTTTTTTATTTAAAATAATGTTAACTTGTTGATTGCCACTTTTTTCAAATGTGAACAAAAATTCAATTTTTCCCAAAAAAGCCAATTTTTCCAAGGCCTGGGAAAAAAACTGAAAAACAGGTTTTTTCCCCAATTTTTCCGGTTTTTTCCGACACTTTAAAACCCTACTTCCGTTGCATGCTAAATTTTTACCCAACAAAAATATTAAACATTTTTTTAGGTAATGGAGGATGCTCATGTTGACGCAGTAATGATTCTCGGGGAAATTTTCAGATGCAAAGACAAATACGATTTCGCACGCCAAGATATGACGGGTAGAATCCAAGATCTAGCGCAAACCATGATAACCCACAGACTTTGCCCACCCCCTGAAGAAGTCTACTCACTTCACAGAAAACTGTCTGGGGTTTTCCTGCTTTGCACCAAACTCAGAGTTGCAGTGGAATGCAAAACTGTGTTTTTGGAGTTGTATGATAACTATGTTAAAACAATGCAATAATAATATTTTTTTATTAATTTTAATAAGTAAATAAATAATATATTTTACAGTGTTTGTTTTATTACAGCGGCTCCAATACATCGTTGAAACGTGAATTTTTCAATTTAACTAAAAAAATGCTATAGGGTGTTTCCATCTCATTATTATGTAGATATAAAAACAACTGTCACACAGTAACTTCTTCAGAATGTATTTAAACTTAAAATTAAATGAGTTTATATAACACAATGTTTTTTTATACAAAATTTTTGGGTCTACCTGAACAAAAATTACTAAATACAATGAAAGGGAATAATGATGGACAAATTTATTGTAGTATAATATATTCTTATTGTATGAATAATTAAAATAAATTTAATAAAGGTGAATTATTGGTCTCAATTTGATTATTTAATACAATATCAGTTCTTTTTAATTTGTTTACTTCTAGAGATTCTAATAAATTAATTTTATGCCTTTACTTACTACATGTAAAATTTTAAAATTATTATCAAAAGTATGTTTATCTCCTTAGAAAAAATACCCATTTTCTTGATATAGTCACACTGATTTTTGTTGGACAGTGGCATTATTTTAAGGAAGTAAGATTTTTCCAACTTAATGCCTTGTTGGTGAGATTTTTGTGCATTAAAAACAATGCATAGTAGGTTTATAAATAAAAACATTTGCTTTGTTTACAACAAAGAATTCTACACAAGACAACCCACTCTTACGATTTTTGTTGTTAATATTAAACCTGTTATTTTTTTGAAAAAATAAGGCTGGATGTATGTATGTATGACAATGATTTATGTCCGGTATGACCCCCTTTGTTAATTGAAATGATGTAATGTTTACTAATAATTTCATTAAAATCGATTTTTTAGAACCAGATCGATTTTTTCCGTTTGCCATAGTTAAGAGTATAAAAGCTGGGGTGGCATATGGAATAGTATTAATATTCAATTGAGTATTGTACTGTGGTGATCAAAATGAAATTCATTGTAAGTATCTTCAAAAAAATATTTATTTAAGTATTTAAATTATTGTAAAATGTTAACACTTTTTAGGTTGCTATCTTTGCATTTGCCGCCATTTTGGCCCTTTCAAATGCCGCCCCTGGAATCATCGGGGCCCCCGGTATTATAGGTGCTCCCCTTGGTCTTGGCGGTATTGGTATTGGAGGACTTGGTCTTGGAGCTCCACTTATTGGTAAAAATTTAAATTATTAATTACTAAAAATCGTTACTTAATTAATTTAATATTTTTAAATTTAGGTGCCCCAGCTGGTATTGTAGGTGTTAACCCTTGGGGGTTAGGACTTAACAGAGGAATTATTGGCGGACCTGGTGTATTACTTGGTTAAACAAAATTTACAATGTATTTATTTGTTTTTATAATTTATGATTTAAATAAATAAGGTGTGCAGATAATTTTTGTTTTATTTATTTACTGTATTTATTTTTTTGTTTAGGCAACCTCAAATTTTTTTGCCTGTTTTAGAAAAAAACAACTTAAAAAAATTGTGTAAATTCAATTAGTTTTTTATATATTTTTTTGTATGTAGAAAACATTTACCTACAATTTAAAAAAATTTTTAACGATCTAAAAATTTTTGGCCAAATTATCGCATTTTCAATAATAAAATGTAACGTAAAAAGAGAAAAATCTATGTTTCTGTCCATTTTTCAAAAATTTCCTACGGATGAACAAAACAAATTTAAGCAAAAAGAAAAAATATGGGTCTCGTCGCGATTTCTGTGGAGAAACTGCAAAAAAAATTTCGTTAAAAAATAACGACCTACCCCTTTTTGCCTGGTCAATTTGAGATGGAAAGGCCTAGAGTATACTTTAAAAAGGTATAGTATATTTTAAAAACCGTTTTGTTGGCTATTATATAATGCCAATTTGGTTGCAAAATGTTGGGATGATTTTTTCCGAGTTAATAATGAATTTTGGGTGGAGCTCCGTGTGTTCTAGTTGGTCAACTTGTCGCACAGTGATATAAAATCAAGAATTACATGGATAATTAAATGATTTTCAAAAATAAATAAATGTAATCTGACATCTGTCAGTTGGCTAACCTCACTTTCTACCATTTTTAAATATTATTATAGTCGCCTTTTTTCAATTTAAAACCCGATTGGCGTAAATCACAGTGAATATTGAAATCAGACAATAACTGATGCCTAACAACGTGAATAATGAGTTCATTATTCCCGTTGCTAGGCAGCGAATTTATAATGGAAAAACCCCAAAATTATGCAATAGGAGTAGATAAATAGTTTTTTCTACTCCCACCTTTAAAACGCCCTTTATCGTACATTTTTTCATGACACTAAGTGACCTTTTAAATACACATTGACAAGTTGTGGCTTTATGGCGTTTTAGTCACGGGCTGAAGTTAGCAACAGGTTTTTAGTCACGGGCTGAAGTTAGTTTTAAGTTAGTTGACAGTTGTCAAATGTCATACAATCGTTAAAATAAAGTGCCTTTCTTGTAAATTAATACTAAATGTGAAAATTATTTTATTATCTCAATACAAAAATACAAAAGTATTAAATAGTTCCTCAACGTCAATATTTGAAAAGTTTATATGAACATTGTACTTTTTAATTTCGCCGGCAGTAAACTATAACTTAAAAAAAACTGTAAATTTTCAAGAAATACATTTCGATTTATAACCTTTATAATCTGTTTTTATAAAATAAAATTTGACATTTGACGGTGACACACAGATTCCCCTATTGTTTCATAGATGGCGCTCTATACAAATTTTTGATTTAAATCATTTTAAGATAATAAGTATTTGTCGTAGAAAAAGTATAGTATCAACCTCGTTTATAAACTTTTTTATACACTCATTAATTTAAGCACTCGCTCGCAAGCCCGCTCGTGCCTAAATTAAATTCGTGTATAAAATGGCGTTTATCAAACTTGATACATAATATACTATTTTAGTAGGTAAACATTTCTTGTAGAAAAACAATCATTTTACCAAATATTGTTATATCCAATGATTTAAAATTTATGAATTGTGCACAATGGTAATCTAACAAGTTTACCACTGACTCAAGAAAAAAAATTTTAGTAAGTACCTAATCCCTAAAACTACCGGGCAATTTTTGTAAAAGTTGCAGCCCACACAGCATCAATTTGTAAATTTATAATTTTTTAGAAATCTATTAGACATTTCAAAAATGACGTCTAAAAGATGCCCTTTGGATTTCTTAGACCAAAAACCGCGGCGAGAGGTTTTGCACTATATTAATATAGTGCGATACCTCTCGCCGCTGTTTGCGAACGCTTGCTAACTATAAATACCGCTGATATATATATTATTTCAGATATCTTATGAGGGCTTTAGATATATCTTTTAGATGACATTTTGTAGGGTAAATTTTAAATAATCCCCAATTTGTCAATCAATGTATAAAACTAAAATTCTTTATTACAAAATATTATGGTACTGTGTGCTTATTCACAGACACACTTGCCATTAATCCATGTAAACGTAAATATGTAATCCTCGGGATATTGGTTACACTGTTATTTCCAACAACGAAATGCTATAAAAACGGAATAGAAAAATGCCCTTCTAGGCGAGGCGCACGATTTTAACGAACACACAACTTCAGGTGCTTTTCGTACAGAAAACCGCAGATTGTGTTGATTATATTTTTAAGGCACCAATTATTTTAGAAGGACGAAATGAACGGTATAAAAGGTGAGGTGGCTGAAAGGAAGATATATTGTTTTGTGCAAGTGCATCGCCATGAAAGTACTAGTAAGTTATCACGCATTTGATTTATTATTAAAAAAATATCAATAAAATTTTAATCGTTTTATGCATAATTTTGTATTCCCATTAATTGCTCATTAAAATGACAGTATACAATAATTGAGGAGCATCCGTGCAAAACCGGCTAAATCCATTTTATTCAGTTTTTGTTTTTTTTTTGATTTCGCATCTTTGGGTTCATTTCTATCGACAACCAAAATAATTCTGTTTAAATCCGACTATATCCATGTTAAAATCACATTTAAAAGGTAGCTTTAGAAGTAAAACCGGCCAAATCCACGTTTTTATAGCAAACCCGGCTATATCCAATAAATAATAATGATGATGAGCATGTGGCTTGGATATGTCGATACTACTACTAAAATTTGTTCTATTTTTTCATGTTTGCACTAAATTTATTTTGTTAATATTTTTGAATAATTTCAAATTTTATTCGTTTTTTATTCGGTTTTTGAGCAAAACCGGCTATATACAAAACATTTTTTAAAATTTTGGCCTTAATATAATGTTTTTGAAAACGAAAGTATGTCTTATAAATCAAGTACCACAAAGCCCACAAAACTCAAGTTTGCTTTTTCTTTTATCTGTAAAGGCCAGGAAACCAAGAGTTTTTGCCATTTTCCCAACATTTTATTAAAGTGGATATAGCCGGTTTTGCACGGATGCTCCTCAATTGTAAATCGTCAAATTTTCTTTAAAAAAATGTTAATTACAATTTTACCTAAAATAATCTTTATAAGAGATTTTTCGCTTTTATAGTTTTAATATTATTATACACCAAGTAATAATAATAATAATAATAATGATAGAGATATCTTTTAAGGCGTAAAAAGAAAATTTAATAATCAATAATTTAATATTATACCAAACAATATCCAGTTATTGCAAATAAGAATGTTATTCCACCCTATGACGATTTTTAAACACATTCTTAAAAACATTTTTTAGATTGTTTTAGCTGTTGTGGCAACTTGTTATGGTTCTCCAGGAGGAATCTACCTATCAGGACCTTCAGGGGTAGTAACAGGCCATGGAGCATATGGTCCTGGAGGACATGGGGGTGGACATGGAGGCGGTCTAGGTAATATTACAATTTTAACTTAACAGTAGTAGGTTCTTACACTCAATGTTTATTTTTACATTTTTAACATTCTCGTAATTTTTACTTTGAGTTTTGCTCTAATACTTATATTATGATAAATCGTATAAATAGTTATCTGATCTGCACAAATGGAGGCGAGATGTATCAATAAAAATTACTTGTTTTACTTCTCATAAAACTTTTGAAGAAACCTATTGTATTTTAACACTCTTACCAGGAGGCGGTTACGGCGGTTACCTGGGAGGCGGCGGCGGCGGGGGAGGCGGCGGTCACGGTTCGGTCCTTGCAGGACCAGTTCAAGGACCTTCAGCCCTCATCGGAGGAGTAACAGGACATTCTTCCGTGGTGGGACCGGTTAACGGTGGAGCCACTTTGGTTGCACCAGCTCACCATGGGGTTTCTTACGTTGGTCACGGAGGACATGGTGGATTGGGTCTTGGTTTGGGTCTTGGAGGTTACGGCGGACTCGGGGGCGGTTTTGGCGGCGGGTATGGAGGTTATGGTGGCGGTCATGGGGGTTTGGGGGGTGGATACGTTGGTATCAGCGATCATGGTGTCACTGTTAAAGGCCCCGCAACTGTCCCAGTAAAAATCGCCGGCCCAGCAGGCAAAATTGTTGCCGATGGCTTATACGGAGTCCCAACGCATGGGCATGGACATTGGTAAACAATTCTCGACAGAACATATAACAGTATTATAAAGTAGAAGCAACTTATTGCTATATAGTTGTGACTACCTGTGATTTTTTGAGTATTATAAACAGCTTCTTTATCATTTTGTGTGTGTTTTTTATAATTATAAATAAGGTGTAAATAAAATATGTAAACATAAAAATAGTTTTATTGTGTAATTTAATACAATATAGTAATTTGCATATTGTAGCAAGAACTATAAACTCTTAGTGTTTTATGCATTTCATATCTTGAACTTGCCCCGTTTCATGGTTCAGTAAACGCTAGAAATTGTCGCAATGTTGCCAATATTAGCCACAAAGATTGGATTATGCGAAATTTATTAAATAATTTAAATTTTTTTAAAAGCATTTCAAATAATAAATTATTTTTAACATTGGTGCGAAACTATGCGCTTTTTCGAGATATTTGTCGATTTGTAGGCAATAACTAGAAAGTGGGTTTATTTTTTATTTATTTGTTTCAAACTGGTTAATCCGTTAATAAAGTTTTAAAGTTATTATTAATATTAGAAGCTTTTTTGTTTTTCCCGGGAGTCATTCATTTTCTTGATTACTTTCCATGTTACGAGTTAAGCTTAATTTTCATGTATCCGTTTGTCCGTTATACGTTTGTACGTTTTTCAATAAAATCGTCCGATAAGAAATGTTCTAATTTTCATGCATCCGTTTTTTAATGACGTTTAACGGATTGATTTGGCGACAAATAAAAATTAAGGGTCAGTATATTCACTTTACTAAATTAACCTAATCCTTAATTGTCATAGTTACAATTATGTCAACAATTGTAACTTTAACAGTTAGCTGTCTAATAAATTTTAAGGTAGGTAAATATACCATATAAAAAGAATATACTAGCCTTAATTTAAATTAAAATGTATAGTTTTAAAAAAGCAGGTCCTTTTATTTCTGGTTTTAATATTTTATTGTTTGTCTTTTCTTTTTTTCTGTTATTATTATTAAATAAAAACATAAAAGTAAAACATTATTCATATAACAAACGTTATATTTCCGTTTTACAATCTTATTAAAAGAATATTAAAAGATTTGAAAGTAAAGTATCTTAAAATAACGTTAGGCGTCAAAAGATGTGTAGTGACAGATTAGTTAAAATTATTTAAAACTTAACGGACGGAAAAAATGTCATAATTTTTTAATTATAATTGGACCAATAAGAGCGCTCCCGGATGAACGGACTAACGGACAAACGGATACATGAAAATTAAGCTTTACTTGTCAACAAACCTTAGCAACAATAAACTTAATTAAATTAAGTACTGTGACTATTTAGTAATGTAGTCATTAAATACCATTTTCCTCATAACTCGATCTGTCAAATTCCATATATAGACAAAATAAAGTTAATGGCATTTCTTAACATAATATTTAAATCTAAATGCAGCAATTATAGTATTTTTATTATAATTAACTTTATACTATAGCAATACATTCATATATAATTTATAGTTTTATTAGTTGTATAAATTAATAAAGAGAATTAATAAATAAGAAAGCACTTAACCAGAAAATCAATTAATATTGATTTATTAACGTAAAAATTGTTTGAATTCCAACATTTCTTAAACGTGCAAAAAATACTAAAAAGCTAAAATACATAGAAAAAATCTAATTTTATAATTGGATCCCGAACATTAAATTTTACTGTAATTATTATAATTTATAAAAACATTTCAACAAAATTTAAAATTTTTATTAAGGATTTAAAAAAGGAGACTCCAACGCCATATAGACGACAAACCCTACACAGTAAAAAAATAATTTGCCAGGCCAGTTCTTACGAACACGTTACGAATTTGAATAAAGTAAGCAGAAACATAAGTTGCAGACGCTGAAGTCAGTTGAACTTGTTGATGTGTATTGTCAGTGGGAAATGTTTTGATTGACTGCCTGAAATCACGTGTACTTTTTCAACGAAATAATTTGCTAGACATTAAAAAAATAATCTGTAATTTTTGAAATTAACAAAATGCTTACAAAATTATATATATAACCTTTACAAAACTTTTGGTAAAATATTTTCAAAGGTGTGTTATAGGTTATTGGATAAAATATATTTTAAAAATAGAAAGAAAGGACACGAGATATTTTAATGAATTTGCTACAATTTCTTAGGTTTTATTAACACTTGTTGTGAATTACATCATGCAAAGTGATCCTGAAATGTGTTGTTCCTACTACTTCAAGGTTCCATATAACAAAAAAAATTGAAAATGCCTTATCATTGTCTTAAAAAACAAAAATATGTAAAATGAACAATTGTTATAACCTTGGTGTGTAAGTATAAACTTTTCCCTAATTTATTTGTTAAATTTATATTTTTAATAACAACAAAGATGTCGATCACTTTTTTGACACTTAAAAACAATCTAAAAAATTACTTAAATTTTTAAATTATTAAATTTGTTTTTTTTGGTATTATATTTATGTTTACTGAAAATAAATTATTGTTGTCACTATTTAAACGCGTGCCTGGGCTGTTCACCGTTATTGGAACATTTAAAAATATAGTTCGTATATACATAAACAAGGCCGTTTCTTCGCATATAAATATCCTGGATTTCGTAAAATCCTTACTAGTTGTCCAATCAGCTACAATCATGAACACATTGGTAAGAAACATACCCTACATTTAATATGTACTTTTTAAAAATCGTAATCCAATATTAAGTTTTGTTTTGTTACAAATTAAACATTGTTTTTTTTTATCATTACCAAATAAGACAGGAGTTGTTGTAAAAAATAAAAATATTTTTTTTAGTTTGTCACAGTCTTGACCGCCCTAGTGGCCCTTTCCGCCGCCTCCGGCCCTGGCGGCGTCCTCCTTAAAGGCCCCTCAGGAATCGTAACAGGTGCCGGCCCAATCGGACCCGCCGGTCTTGGTCTTGGCGGTCACGGTATTGGAATCGCCGCCCCCGTCGCTGTAGCCGCTCCCCTCGCCATCGCTCGCCCTCTCGCCGTGGCCGCTCCCCTCGCCGTAGCCGCCCCGGTGCTCGCCGCCCCCGCAGTGCAGGCCGGCGCCATTTGGGCCGGCCCCCAGCAAGCCGGGGCGGTCATTGCCGGCCCCACTCAGGCGGGTTCCATCACCACCGGCGGCGTTATCGGCGGTAGCGTCGGTCTTGCCGCTCCCGTTGCCGTAGCCGCCGCCCCCGTTGCTGTAGCCGCCCCCGCCGTTGCCGTAGCTCACGGTGCCGGTCTGATCACCAACGGAGGCGGTACGATCGGGGTCAGCGCTCACGGCGCAGTTGTCAACGGGCCACCCACCGCCCCCGTGGTGGTGGCCGGGCCGGCTGGTAAGGTGGCCGCCGATGGCTTGTGGGGGCCCACTTTGGCCGTTGGTGGTGGCGGTCACGGGTGGTAGATGACTCCTTTCAGGCTGTGTTCGGATTATGACGGATAATTTATTTTTTTACTTTGTTTCGTGTGTTGTAAATACAAAATCGACGTAGTTAGAAATTCGATTTTTTATTTTTTGTTTGTATGTGTATATAAAAAAAGAAATATAAAAAAATTATAAATATATCTGGATTTTATTTCAATATACCCCCAATGTAATGAGCATTATTAAACCAATAAAACATCAAACGAAAAACCAGGGATTAGAGCTGAAACCGCCCAAGTGCATTTTTAAGTCAACATTTTTTAATCGTGTTACCGGATAGTAAAATATTTTGACTTAAAAATGCACTTGGATGGTTCAGCTTTTCCCTTCAATTAATATAGAAATTAACGTTTAATAAAAAATCACACATACTTTTTCCCTGCTTTAGCGGAAGCTCTTTTCCAACCTTCTTCTCTATTGACAATATAGCCAAACCCACTAGTCGTTCTTGGCACATACCTTCTTGATCTTAAATATTATTATTAATTTTAATTTTGAAAAACTCTTTTCCCGGCATAATAATAATTGTGTTTATGCACGATGACATTATAATATGACAATTATAACAAAAATTCTTTGACGTAAACGTCTTTTTATAGCCCGCGGGCGTTATTATGGCCCAGCGGGCTATAATGAAACGTCAAAAATTAAAAACAACAATGTTACACCATTTGATATATTTTAAGTAAGTTTTTTCGTATAAAGATTTTGATTTTACCGGCAGCAGGCCGCAATTTTTCGCCTTTTCAGCTGCTTCCTCAATTTCATTTATCTTTAAACTTTAAAACTGACTGATGTCAGTTGACATTATAATATGACAATTATAACAAAAATTCTTTGACGTAAACGTCTTTAAAAACAATAATATATTAAAAATAATAATAAATTAATCGTGCATAAAGTTTTGTATGCATTGCTGGCATAACTGGTTTTTATGGTCCTACGACGCTTTTCTAGCCCTCGCGCTAACGCGCTCGGGCTCGAAATAGCGCCTCGGACCATAAAAACCTTATTATGCCCTTAATACATAAATAACTATTATCTACTCCTACATTGACGAGCTGTAACTTTATGGCGTTTTATTGACTGGCTGAAGTTAACAACAGTGGCTTTTCGACATTTTACGTCACGTGCTGAAGTTAGCTTTATTATAAATTGGGAAAAAGTGAGGTTAAATTCGGGTGACAGTTGACAGATGTCAAAAATTTAACAATTAAAATTGCCTTTAAATTCTGTTTTGTGTTCATGGTAGATAAAGTATAGTATGCAACTCGTTTATAAACTTCTCTAGACACTCGTTTTTATTAGACACTCGCTCGCAAGCTTCGCTCGTGCTTAATTAAACTCGTTACTAAAATGGCGTTTATAAAACTTGATACATAATATACTATAAACGGATACAGGCAACTTCAAATACACATTTAGCAACATTGAACTGAATGATAATAGATGACGATACCTACTAAAGATATCTCTGGCAATGACCAGATAATATTTTGTCACGCTGTGCTTACAGTTTGCTTTTATTAAACTATAAACTACTGCATTATATTAAAATTAGCCTACCTAATGCAAAACAGTAATAATTACATATATAAAAAAGTTATTTTCATAGCTCCAAAATGTCCCTGTCTATCTGCATTTATACTTGTGTAATAGGAGTAGGTATTTTTAATTTTCTGCTCATTAACCTGCTTTTTTATTAAAAGAGTCCCCTCATACCTTGTTTGATAAACAATACAACAACGGTTAGGTAATAAATCCGTTAAAGAATATTTAAAAATGTATTAAACTCTGAATATTTGAAATATGTAAAAATGTAATTAAAGTGACAAAAATCAACATAACACTTTGTTGTTACCTAGTTTTAGGTATAAAATTTTGTTTAATAAAAAGAAAACAGTCAAAGATAGCTGATTTTATAATTTTGAAACAGATTTGGTAAATAATATGGACTAGAAGATTTTGCTCAGCTCAAGGCGAAAAAAATAAATTTGTAAATTTCATAGCACGATATTTTTGGTATTGGGTTAATTTTAGCAAGTTTTAAGGGTTTTATTGTCGATGCTAAAAGAATTCTTACTTACAAAAAAATACGGGCCTCAAAATATCAAATATCTCGGGCCCAATGGATTTATGTAATATAAAGCAATTTGACTAACACTTGTTACGACACTGAATATTACAATTTTCTAACAAATTAAGTTGTTCTTAACAATTAAATTTATTTCATCTTTTTCTATAATATAGACAGCGATACTTATAAGTTCACAAAATAAAACTTTTTTTTACAAATGTTTAAAAAAATTATTTATTTATTTATTTCCAATAATACGAGGTGTGTTCATAAAATATCGGGAATTTTCGTTTTTTGAAACAAATATTTATTTATTCGTCTACATTAATGTTGTCGCCTTCAAAATAGTCCCCATTGGATATTATGCACATGGGCCAGCTCTTCTTACAATACTCGAAACACTTCTAAAACTCGATCTTTGAGATAGCCGTTAGTTCTTTCAGCGATGCGCTTTTAATGTCATCTATTTTTGCAAAACGACGGCCCTTTAAGGTTCTCTTTATTTTTGGGAATAGGAAAAAGTCAGACAGAGGCATGTCTGGCGAATATGTATTGTTTTTGGCCAAAAATTTTATTCAAAATTTAACAAATTTGGAACAAATTTTGCTGCCACGCGTTTCATACCCAAAACATTTGAAAAAATTTCATGGGATGAGCCAATCGATATACCAACATCATCAGCGACTTCTCTGATGGTTTATAACCATTTCTTCCACTTTTTCCATGTTTTTATCGGTTGTTAATGTGCTTGTGCGTTAGGGGCGTTCGTCATTTTCAACATCTTCACGGCCATCTTGGAAACTCTTATACCACTTGTAAACTCTTGTTTTACTTATAGCAGACTCACTACAGGCCTTTGTTAACATTTCACAGAATTTATTTAATTTTTTAAGCAAAATTGAATACAAATTCTTTGATCCATTTCTTTCGATCGAACGAAAATCGCCGAGCTCATAAAACATGTCTAACCTTAGCGGCTGCCACAGACAAAGTAAACAATGAAAACAGCTAAAGTTTTTATCATACTTCGGCGGCATGTATACCAACATAATAATGAAAATGTTATGACAACCGAACCCTCCGAACCCGCGAAATTGAACAATTCCCGTTATTTTCTGAACACACCTCGTATATAACAGTTAAACAAAAAAGTTTATAAAGTTAATTTTACACAATAGAGTTTGTAGTTTATATACATATGTCTTTGTTACCGTTATAACTTATAAGTTCATATGAAAAACCTACACAAATATAAATCAGATTTCCTGTACAACACCCACTATAAAATGCACCACTTTTGAATGCCATACCCAAGAAAATATTTAGAAAAAATGCCATAATGTATTTAATTTATTCAATATATTTATTTTTTTAAAGTGAAATTTAATTTTTTTAAAGTAGATCATTTATTTTCTGAAGGGTGAAAAATGCTCTATTCCATTGATCTTCAGACAAATTTATTTTACCGAAAAATTATTAACGTATTTTTTAACAATAATGATTATTTAAAAAGAACCTTGAAAGATTGTTGTTGACAAATAGGTAAAAATATCTATCATTAACACAAGAAATTCTATTTTTACCTACTTTAAGGTTAATCGCTCATTTTACTGGTTTTGAGACTACCAAACTGCTTTACCTACAAACCTAATAGAGTGTGGAAACCATACTTTACATAAAATAATCCTAATAGTCCTGTAGATATGGCACAAAATCAGGACAATAAAATTTAGCTGATGTAATATTTCTTCGGGAGCATAAGCCTTTGATAAAGACTTAAATTCAAACAAATATTTACAAAACAAGGCCGATTGTACTATATAAATAAAGGGGAAAATAATGAAATTATTATAGTTTACTACAAATAATCATCATGAACGCATTGGTAAATATAAAAATAACACTTTAACAACCAAAAATTTCTTTGAAAGTCATTTGAATAAAAAAACTAAAATAAATGAAAAAAGTTAAAATATACTTTTGTCAATACCTATTTAAAAGTTATTTTAACACATTTTTAACATTTTAATTTGATGTTTAAAAATCTTCGTTAACAAATATTTTTTATATTATCTTTATTACTTTACAAAATCCCCAAACTTAAACAAGAAACTACAATACAATAAAATATTGTATTTTTTAGGTACTTTCCGTCTTAAGCTTGCTAGCTGTCAGCTCAGCTCACCCATCTGGCTTGGGAGGTATTGCCATTGGGGGGTTAGGCTTGGGAGGAGTGGGTTTGGGAGGCGTAGGCTTGGGAGGATTAGGTTTGGGAGGCTTGGGGGTAGGATTGGGAGGATTGGGACTTGCAGGACCAATTGGACCAGCTGTTGGTATTGCAGGACCAGTAGGACCTGCTGTAGGCATTGCAGGACCCGTCTCGTTGGGAGCTAAAATTGTTGGTAAGATGCCTTTCTAACTATAAAAATTATTAGCTATGTTATACATATTTTTATCTATTTTGCGTTCATAATGACTTAATTGCTAGCAAGCTGTAATGAGATACTTTATCCCACCCAAAATTTTGATTTTATAGGTTAGCTATACTTTAAACATCACAATATTTTTCATATAGGTTATAATATTTTTATGATTTTTCTAGTACTTACGAGACTTTTCTGGCAATAAATTTTGTTTAACACCAAAGAAAATAATAATAATAATAATAACTTTATTGTGAAAAACAGTACAATACATGTATCACAAAAGGCATTAGTTCAGCTTCACTGATCTTCCACTCACCCAGCAAACAAATATAATTTTAAATTGTAAATAAACAATAAGTATATAAAAACTAACAAATATCAACAACATATTAAAATTACAAGATTACAGAATTTCTTTGGCTTGGATCTCTAATAAAATTTTTAAGATATTAATTTTAAAAGTCCCAAGGGAAATATCTTCTGCGACAAAATGACGTCTTATGACATTAGTTCTTTAATATACTTTTAGACAGTCCAAAATTCATATTTCTTTCTTTTAGGACCCGCCACCTTGGGAGCGACCATCGTCGGCCCCACTAACGGCGGCGCCACCTTGATCGGACCCACCGCCGCCGTGGGAGTGGCCGCCGCTCCCGTGGCCGTAGCCGCCGCTCCCGTCCTGGGCGCCGGTCTCATCACCAACGGAGGCGGCGCCATCGGCGTCAGCGGTCTCGGTGCTTCCGTCAGAGGGCCGCCGACCGCCCCCGTCGTGATCGCCGGCCCCAGCGGCAAAATCGCCGCCGACGGCTTGTGGGGACCCACTTTGAATGTTGGCAACAAAGTTGTTGGGGGTTGGTAGACAAGGATGTTTTAAAATTGAATATTGATGATCGACTGGCTACGTTATTTATTGTTTAAGTGTTTAAGTTCGTTTTTTGCAATTGTGTGAATGAGTATCTATATATAAATAAATGCAGATGACCTATAATTTGTGGTTTTATTGATTAAAAACGGTAGTGTAGTTTTGTGGTTTTCTAAGGATTTTCCACAACTTCATTTCAACAAAAATGTACGTTTACATTTTTTTATAATAATAATAATATTAATAATAATATTTAGATAGTGAAGGCTTTCTTAATCTAAAAATTTAAAATATACCTATGTATGTTATTATTTTACTAAAAGGTTTTTAAGGGTACCTAAAAAATTCAGTTAAAAATGAAAATGACCCTTAAAATTGGCATTAAAAAAAATTTGAACTTATGTTATAAATTGTAAAGAAATAATAAATAACCAGTTCTTTTATATTTTATTAACAAATAACATTAATTTTGGCATTTTACGGTTTTATATAAATTTAAAATATTAAAGATTTTCTAGAGCATTTGCAAGTCAGTAAATGAAGCTTCTAAATTTTATTTTATTTTTCAAATGAAATTTCAAAAAAACTTAAACATGGAAAAGTGTTTTCCAATTTCCTATTATTTAACTACAATGGTAGAGTAAAATAGACAGTTATCGGACACTTTATAGTTATTGGACAATGACGCTGTGTACAATTATAAATATCTCAGTCGGTAATAATATAGAACTACTTTATTTTGGCTCCAATATAGGACAAAAAAGTTCGCACGTTTCTTTGGTGGTACGATTTTTGTTTTTTTGTTAAGAGCAGGGCTGTGTTTAAATTACAATAAAAAATATTTTTAAAAAGTGTACAGATAAGTGTTTGGTATAAATGTGTTCCTCATGGTTTAAAGTTTTAATTTTAATTCTGAAGACAAACAGGAAAATGGCCAGTGTTCAATTACTGGTTGGTAAAAAATGTAAATTTTGGACATTTGTCCAATATTATACACTATTTGTATCCCGGACATTTACCAGCCAATTCCTATGTAAAATTGTCCCCTGAATCCGAAAAGACCGTCAAAACTATAAAAGTTAAGCCGTTTTTGAGATATAGTCAATTCCATATTATATGTAAAATTGATTTTATTTCAAACACTGTTCTACTTTTATAACTTTTGATGACATTGACTGCTTAATGTCTTGGATACAGATTGTTGTTGACGAGAATTATTAGTGGCTGCTTTTTCGCTATGACATTTGTAACTAATTCATTTTTAATATATAATCACTATATTACTTATAAGTAATATGGTGATTTCTTCGTCACATGACATCTTGCAGAATAACAGTGATTTAAATACAGTGCATGATAGAGAACATAAAAAACTAATGGCAACAAAATTATTAAATTCGGAAAATACTTTAACATACCACCCGAAAAAATATTAGATATATATAAATCATCCTGTTCCGGCCTAAACATTATAAATGCTTTACAAACTAGAGATACCACACTTAATGATATTTGCAACAAACTATTTCAGAAGTCAGACCAAGGAATTAGTAGTTACCTTCAGAATCCAGAAAAGGGATGAGGAATCCGAGAAAGAAATATATGAATTATATGATATTTACAAAAACGAAATAAAAAAAATTACCTAAAACAGCAATTTATCTTTAAAAAATATTTAACAATTTATGTTATTTGAAGTAAAAATTGCATATCCAATAACTATGGTCCATGTGTCCAATTACTATATAAAATGTCCAATTACTATACTTTTTTGCATGTTTTTAAAAACTATTATTAAAAATTCAAATATTCTTATTATTAAGTAAACGTAAATAAAGTTTAAACAAACAAACAATCCTTTTTATATATTTATAAGAAAAAAACTAAAATCTTTAAAACAACGTCATATATAAATTTTAAATAAATAATATTCTTTCCAATAACTATGTCGTTTACCTAATAATAATAATATTTAGATTGTAAAAGCTTTCTTAATCTAAAAATTTAAAATTTACCTATGTATGTTATTATTTTACTAAAAGGTTTTTAAGGGCACCTAAAAATTCAGTTAAAAATGAAAATGACCCTTAAAATTCGCATTAAAAAAATTGAACTTGTGTTATAAGTTTTATTAAAGAAATAATAAATAACCAGTTCTTTTATATTTTATTAACAAATAAAATTTGGTATTTAAATATTAAAGATTGTTTAGCCCATTTGCGAGTTTCTAAATTTTCAAATGAAATTAAAAAAAACTTAAACATGGAAAAGTTTTTTCAATTTCCTATTATTTAACTACAATGGTACAACATTTTTTTAAAAATTATATACTAACTTATTTTTTTTTAAATTGTATACCGAGTGTCCGGAAAATGGCGCATTTAGTTGTAATGGGTTTATTTTAATTAAAAAAATATTTTTTTCGGACAAGTAATTTTTAAGAATATTTATTTATGTAAAAGGACGTTTTAAAATAAAATATTTAAATTTATTGATAATATTATATTATTATTATTCTAGTTTCAATGACAATATAGTGATCTTACACATTGAAGGCGTTTTAGTCACGGGCTAAAGTTAGTTTAAGTTGTCAAATATCATACAATCGTTAAAATATAGCGACCAGAAAGTGTGTTCGTCGTAAAAATAGTATATAAACTTCTCTACATATTCCTTTATTAAACACTCGCTCGTGCCTAATTAAAAAATTCTTTACTAAAATGACGTTAAAATGAGTTATCCAAAATTTTTATTTCAAAATTTTAATATTTTTATCTAGATATTTATTAATATTAACACAATATTATTTAGTTATTTATTTAATGTCAACAACTATTAATAAACTTCGTATGTTAATACAACTTTTACATGGAGAAAAAAGCCGATATCTTATAGAAATTTATCGACTTTTACATCATAATTTAACACTAATTAATGCAAAACCTTTACTGATAACAAAGAACAGAAAAAGGACAAGGCCATTTAGTCTTTCCTTATATCTCCCGGGGTTCCTAACATAACTATAGTTTCTATGCAGCCATCAACATGGACATATTGGTAAAATCACTTTATCATCTTTTATTTTATAGATACATGTTATGTCTAATCTTATAGACATGCAAAGCATTTACTGTAATTTTACCTTGTAAGAATAAAAATCCCAAAGTTCAAATGTAAAGAGGATGTGCACGATGAATAAGAAACTCATCAGTTTAGTTAACTAGTTAAAGTCATTCCTACAACACCATGGTATAACATTTATTATAAAATACCAAATAACTAATACGAATTATTCTCTTTTAGTACATATTTTCAATAGCTTTTTTGGCTATAGAAATCACCGCCTCAGGATCGCACAATCCTGCTGAAGGACAAACAATATCATCAGGAATTTTATCCGATGACATATGGGCACAACTATCACTTCTAAAAGCAGGACGTATTCCTGCTGCGGAAGGAACATCTGCAAGAAATGCTGGCGTCAACATAATACCCCCGGTAGCAGGAAAAGCAACAATAATCCCTGCTACATCAGCTGAAGGACGTACAATCTCAGGACCGGCAGGAAGTATTTACACAGGACCTTTAAGCAGTGATATATTGGCACAATTAGGGCTCTCAAACACCATTTTATCTCCTGCTATTTCCGGAAAATCTGTCATAATTCCACCAAGAAGTGGTCTAGTTAACATAGTACCCCCTGTAGCAGGAACAGCTACAATTATTCCTGCTCGCTCGGCAGGAGTAAACATTTTAGGACCCAGTGAAAATCTTGTCAACTTAGGATGGAACAATATCCCTGCTAGAGCTGGTGGAGTCAACATTATCCCCTCCGTTACAGGACAAACTCGTTCAGCAGGAGTGAACATTGGTGCTGCAGGAAATATTGGAGGTTTAGCAAATGGTGGAGTTAACATTATACCCCCCGTTGCAGGAAACGCTCAAATAATCCCTCCTCGATCAGCAGGAGTAAATATAATCGGATCTGCAGGAAATGGCTGGGGTTTGACAACTGGGGGAGTTAACATTGTACCTCCAGTTGCAGGAAAAGTTGAAATAATCCCTCCTAGGTCTTTAGGAGTAAATATAGGTGGTTCTGCAGGACATATTGGGGGTTTAGCAGGATGGCAAAATATTATTCCTGATGATAGTTGGATTATGAATGAGTTGGTGGGACTTCGAAATATTATGGGTCCTGCTACGGGTGGTGTAAGGATAATTGGACCAAGTATTGCAGGAAATAATAATGGAATTTTAGGTAAGATTTTTTAATGTTTACCTAATTTAAATGGATATTTATTTTAATGATTTCATGCGATGTTATTTATAATTTTGCATGTTTTTTGAGATTTTTCATATAATTTGTAATAGGGTAAACCACATAGTTAAGGTATATTATTTATTTAAAATTTATATATGCCGTTGTTTTAAAGATTTTAGTTTTTTTCTTATAAATATATAAAAAGGATAGTTTGTTTGTTTAAACTTTATTTACGTTTACTTAAAAATAAGAATATTTGAATTTTTAATAATAGTTTTATAAAAACTTGCAAAAAAGTATAGTAATTGGACATGTTATATAGTAATTGGACACATGGACCATAGTTATTGGACATACAATTTTTATATAAACATAACAACTTAACATCAAATAACATAAATTGTTAAACATTTTTTAAAGATAAATTGCTGTTTTAGGTAATTTTTTTATTTCGTTTTTGTAAATATCATATAATTCATATATTTCTTTCTCAGATTCCTCATCTCTTTTCTGAATTCTAAAGGTAACTAATTCCTTGGTCTGATTTCTGAAATAGTTTGTTGCAAATATTATTAAGTGTGGTATCTCTAGTTTGTGAAGGATTTATAATGTTTAGGCCGGAACAGGATGATTTATATATAGGTATCTAATATTTTTTGGGGTGGTATGTTAAAAGTATTTTTCGAATTTATTAATTTTGTGCCATTAGTTTTTTATGTTCTCTATCATGCACTGTATTTAAATCACTGTTATTCTGCAAGATGTCCTGTGACGAAGAAATCACTATATTACTAACTCTCTAAAAATGAATTAGTCAAAAATGTCATAGCGAAAAAGCAGCCACTAATAATTCTCGTCAACAGCAATTTGTATCCAGGACATTTAGCAGTCAATTCCTATGAAATATTATTCGCTGAATACGATAATGTCGTCAAAAGTTATAAGAGTAGAACAGTTTTTGAAATATAATCAATTTTACATATAAAATGAAATTGACTATATCTCAAAAACTGCCTAAATTGTATAGTTTTTGACGGTCTTTTCGGATTCAGGGAACAATTTTACATCAGAATTGGCTGGTAAATGCCCAGGATATAAATAGAGTATGATATTGGACATATGTCCAATAATAGAAATTCACATTTTTTTGTATACAGCGTCATCTAATTATTTGACTTTAAGGGAACTATTTATAGTCTACTTTGTATTTTTAATATGTTTTGCAAAAATAAAAATATTAGGTTAAAGATATAACTTTAAACTAATAACAAATAAAAAGTTTATAAATTAATTATTTTTTAGATTGGAGCCAAAATATTTTGGGTAACGACATCTCAAAATCTATTTGGACCAATGGAGGAGGTAGCATAAGCATAGGATCTCACGGAGCTGTAATAAGCGGTCCGGAAACCCCCTCAAGGGACTTAAGGGGTATTGCAGGAAGAATCCTTGGCAAAAGACAAGCAAGAAAAAGATGGTAAACTATAAAATCTTTATACAAATTTATAAAACAATACAATTTATTCTGTATTAAAATTGTTGGCAATTTAATAAACATTTTTATCATTTAATGCTGAGTTCTTTCGCTACTATTTTCTAGAAGATTTTAGTTGCAACTAAACGGAAAATTGCCAAGGTTGATAGGTGTGTCAGGCTATTGTATATTACAGAAAATGAAACAACTATTAAAATATTGTTAATGCAATTTATTATAAAAAAAACTGAAATACTGCATTGCTAGATAATATGTTTTGACTTATTTAAAAATATGTATGTACAGGGTGATCCCCTATAATGTCGCCCCCCTTTAACTTTTTTATTTTAAGTGTCCCAAAAAATTTAAAAGAGTGGTTATGTAGGTACTAAAAAATACTTTTTTTCTAAGTATTAAAAAAATTAAAAATTGATCAATATACAGGGAAAAACAAAAAGTATATTTTTTTTAATGGATCACCCTATATATGAATTTATTTTTCGATTCCTTATAAAATTCTGAGCATAATTCATATAACAAACCATATCCTAAATTCAACCGTTTCTGAAATATTCGCATTCGAAATGTCATTATTAAATGTTTTTTTAAACTGTTATAAATCAAGAAGCCTCAGTATACCAAAATTTTTATTGAAAATAAATTATTATAGTGACATAATGTCAATATGTCTTGTTAAATAAGTAAAAATGGCGTACTCAGACAGACAAACTATTTCAACTTATTATCTTAAAAATAATTTAAATATTTCAGAAACGGTTGAATTTAGGTATATGGTATTATATGACATATGCTTAGAATTTTACAAGGAATTAAAAAATAAATACATATATAGGGTGATCCATTGAAACAAAATAAACTTTTTGTTTTTCCCTGTATACTGATCAATTTTCCAATTTTCTTTATAAGTAGAAAAAAAGTATTTCTTAGTACCTACATAACCACACTTTGAAATTTTTTCGGACACTTAAAATAAAAAAGTTAAAGGGGGGCGACATTATAGGGGATCAACCTGTACACGGTGTCAAAATTAATCTGCTCACCATTGCTAATTCCGTTATTTTTGGAGCTACAAAGTCCGTTAAATTAGAAAATTGGTGGCATTTTTTCTCCTCATGAAAATGGTGAAAATGGATAAACAATTAAACGCCGGGTTTCTGAAAGATCCTTAAAAATAACAATTAAAAAAAAATTACATTTTTACTTATATAGATGATATTTTTAGTTCTCTTTAATTTTTTGCATTTCGTATAATTTTTAAGAAAAAAATAAAATTGGTTTATTTAAACTCGTTCTTTCTTATTTTTGAAAGTTTTATTGTCAATTAAATTTTCTAGATTTAAATTTGTAAACAAATAGTATTTGTAGATAGGTAAAATATTGTATTAATTTTTAAATTTTTAAACCAATTTTAACAAGAAATTTCACAAAATACTTGGGTTAACGACTATAGATAAAATTTTCGCATGAATTGGAAAAACAAACACATTTTTCTATAGCAGGTGTGTCCAAGAATATCAGCGACACATTACATAAAGTTCCTCATTAAATCAATCATAGATTGTTTATGATAATCCATTTTTTAATCACAATAATCAATGCCATTGAAAACCCCAATGTGTATATAAAGTGGACACTTCCATTGGACATCACAGTTCTTCTCAAGACAACAAGAAAAATGAACAAACTGGTAAGAAAAACTATTTATAAATATTGCCATTTTAACTGTAACAAATTAATATTTTTATAAATATTCTATTTCACTCTAAAGAACATTTATTTTTGAATTATTAATAAATTATCAAATTATTAAAACAATTTATTTTTCCCTAGATTGTTGCCCTCTTCTTCTGCTTGGCTGCTGCCTCAGCTGCGCCATCTTGGGGACATGGAGGCGGCACTGTAATTGTGGGCCCCTCTGCCGCCGGGACCATTGTGGCCGGCCCTGCCTCCCACGGGGCTGTCATATCCGGTCCTGGACTTTGGGGGCATGGTTTGTGGGGACATGGCCTTTGGGGACACGGCGCCTGGGGACATGGAGCCGGGCCTGTAGTCGTCAGCGGGCCTTCCGGTAAGAAGGTGAGGATTATTTTTCGCGACACATTTTAATTTTTTTATTTTAGGTGTCATTTCCACGGCTGGTCATCATGGTCATTGGTGGTAAACCTTAATGGTTTGGTATTGGTCAATTTAAAACTGCCTGATGTATGCTTATGATTGTTAATTAATATTAGATGGCAATTGTTAGTGTTCAATAAAGAATCTTAGATTCTCAGAACATTTTATTCTTGTTTTTGCTTGATTCCAAACCTCGACAATATGCGCCACATCATTTTTATTGCCTATTTAATTTAAAATTTTGATTTTTCTGAAAATTTGTGACTTTTGATAATGGTATATTATGTAGAAAAGTTTAAAAACTATTATACTTTTTCAATGACAAATACTAAATTTTATCTAAAAAATTATTAAAATTAAATATTTGTGTAATTTTCACCATTAACATTCCGTTATTATTTTATTTAAACTTAACAATTATTGATAATTTAAAATTTTAAAATAACTTAAAAAAACGATTTTATCCTTTGATTTTTTTTATTACTATAATTGCAAAATATTATCACAACTGTCAACTAACTTCAGCCCGTGACTAAAAATGTGTTGCTAGCCCGTGATTAAAGCGCCATAAAGCACCAACTTGTCAATGTGTATTTAAAAAGTCATTTAGTATCATGGAAACACGTACGATAATGTTCATTTGTCATTTCGCAAAAGTAATCAAACCAACCTAAAACATGAACTTAATTTGCAGAACTTTTATTACTTTTCCCAAGTAATAACGTATTTTTTTTTAAATAATTATTATAGGTGTGTGAGAAATAATAATCTAATTTCCTTATAAAGAAAATGCTAATACAGTTTTTCTCAATTTTATGAATACTTAATTACTATTTAATACATACCTACATTAAATCAATACATTAATAAACACGCATTAACAGTTATTTTTATATTAAATATTTAATCATAAAAAACAATAGAATTTTTGAAATAAAATTATTTTTAAACCATCATTAAAGTTCAACCAATATTTTTCCTGATAAATCACCCGCTGAACTTTAGTAAAATCTACAGATAATAAATATAATATAATATAATATAATATATAATATAATTGCTGCAAAATATTTCTATTTAGTCAAGCGTGTAAAATCTGTTTAAAGTAAATCAAGGTCTTAATAAAAGATTTGAAGAAAAAAAGAGCTGCTGAGTATAATAAATTATTATTTCGGCCCCACACATTGCAAAAAAAAATGTTGCAAAGATAATTTTAAAAAATATTCCTGTGCATCCGCCATTTTTGAAAATTTTAAAAGTTTTGAAAATTTTACTCATGTTATTGTTTTCTACTTTTTAAACGCTTGCGAAAAAATGTTTAAAATAAAAATTAAATGATCCGAGGGGGGATGTGAATCAATACTAAAATTGGTCCTCATACTCTCCTCCTTATAGGGGGAACTGGGGGTAACTTTAAAATTTACAAAAAAACACCCTATTTTTTATTGCAGATTCGGATCATTCGACTAAAAATAGATTGTGTCTAAAACATGTTTTCAAATTTGTAATAGATGGCGCTGTAATGAAAAAAAAACGAATTTTGTTCAATTTTTCTTCTGTATATGATTCTTCAATAATTTTTGAATAAAATACTTCATCAAGATTCCTGCCTGCTTCTCCATAAATTAAAATCATTTCTATTTTTTCTTCCACAGCTAAAAAATCTATTAGGAATAACTTTTTTTTTTGTTTGCAAATTAATCTTCGAACTAAATTGATTAAATAATGCTGAACTATGTATAAATAGTTTCTTTATACCTGAATAATAATTATTATTTATAACTAAATACCACTCAATTAGGATTAAATTGATTAATTGACAAAATAATGTTTTTTTTAACCTTAAATGAGGTATTTTTTATTAAAAATAGTACAATAATCCTTTAATTTAAAGGATTTAATGCTGGCAGGTAAAAAGTAAAAACTTAGGAAACTTAAATTTTAGTTAAAAAATCGTGGGTAGTTACTTAAAAAAATCAGATTTAATTTTGTAAGATAATTATTACCAAAAAAAGTGATATTTTTAATTTAAAAAATCAGATTTAATTTTATAAGATAATTATTACCGAAAAAAGTGATATTTTTATAGAAAAAATATTGCAGAATCGTATAAGAAGAAAAATCGAAAAAAAAATGTTTTTTTCATTACAAATATGAAAAAATGTTTTAGACAAAATCTACCTATTTTTAGTCGAATAATCCAAATCTGCAATAAAAAATAGGTTGTTCCATTGGAAATTTTAAAGTTACCCCCTGTTCCCCGTATAAGGAGGAGAGTATGAGGACCAATTTTAGTACTGATTAATTTCCCCCCTCGAATTATTTAATTTTTATTTTAAACATTTTTTCGTAAAATGCATACTAAAAAAAATAATATAATATATTTCCATCTCTATTCCAATAAAGAAGTAAAATTTACAACTCAACTTAATGCACAATTTGATTTTAACATTAAAAATAGGATTTTTTGTGTTAGTTTCCCAAAAAAGTTTATTTTTTTGTGAAAAAATACTTTTTACTGAAAACGTGTTCTTTTGAACCGGCTACACCTTTGGGAATTACTAATGCTGTTAAATATTAAATATGTAGGTATTATTGAATAAATTATTTCTGCATAATAAGTAATAATTATAATAAATATAGGTGAATGTTACGGATTGATAAGAGATTTTTGCACCTAAATTTAGAATTATTTAGAAATATAGAATACCTCATCATAAACTAAACATTTTATTACTATTTAAATAAAGCGATAAATTATTATTTAAATTTAATTAAAACAGTATTGTTTTATGGCCACATAAATTATTTATGCATTGATTATAGGCAGTATAGATCCTGAACAATTAAATAATAGATAATTACACAATACATTTTTTCTATTTTTCCTGAATGGTAACCTAGTTAATAAAATGGTTCAGAGGTA